CCTACCCAGCAGGATTAGCTGCTGCAAGGTTTTCCCCCCAGGACACAGTCTGACCTACAACATCTGTCTGACACTTTATTGTGTTTGGACAGTGACTCCAGGAGAACCACAGGTGAACATGGTCCCTCTGCCACCTGTCCCTTTTCATTCCACAGGAATTAGTAACTTACTGGAAGGATTTGGCACAGTTACTTCGGTGGGGCTGGGCAGCAGCCACCCTGCCTTTATGTGTCTTTATCAAACCAGACCAAACTCAGAAAAACAGAAGTTTAAGACTTGACAACACAAAATCCCAATAACTAATAATGCTCAAGAGTAAGTCAAATATTTCTTATTCTCATGTAATTATCCAACCAAAAATCTTCAGATTTGGGACTCTTCCCAATATATCTCAACCAAAAATCTTCACAATAGTTTTTTATGCTTCTGTATATGATCTTACATCAGCATTGGAAGGACAGATAATATCCAGGAGATTACAGAACCATGGAATGTCTCAAGTTGGAAGGGACCATAAGGGTGATCGAGTTGATGCTGATCCACATGACACTATCAAACAGCTGCACCACTTTTCTAGAACTATTGTATGAAATCTTTAGGAATAAAGACCATGACTTTACAAAAATTTGTACCATCAGCACTGTGAACTCATAAAAAAATTTTTTTAATCTGGTAATTTGCATTTCTGTTCAAAATTTGATCCTACAGATAAAATTTAGATGTTTTGTTGTGCATTTTGGCTTTATCAGAAGTGAAAGGGTGAGGTTCCTGATAGGAGCCAAGAAAAGGTTCCTGGTAACTTTTGCTACAGGATGCTCAGAAAGATACATTTCTAATTCCTTTGACATTACATATCAGTATAACAACTTCCCCAAAGGCTTTGACCTCTGCATGTCTGGCAAATGAACACTGTGCACGTGAAAATGTAATTGTATAAATACATAGGGGAGTGTACACAAACACATGAATTTACAAACATAGTGCAATTTTTAAGCTTTTTAAGCTCTCTTTATAATAGATTTTCCAGCTAATTAATTCTTCAGGCTAACACTGAGTTTGGTACATTACGAAAATACATGTCCTTATTATTTATGAGAACTCAGCAAGACCTAAATTAAGGGGGAGAACTCTTCAGATGTGATGAGAATTGAACCTGCTCTGCTTGGGGAATGAAGGATAAAATGAATGATTATCTTTAAACCAGCTTTGAGGACCAGGCTTTTACCCTGCCAGTCTCAGCTCTGTATAGAGTTAGGCTGAGTTTTCTTTCTAAGAGAAAGCTAAGGATGGAAGGCACTGGTGTCTTGAGGGGAGGCAGACAGGACACCAAATTGCTGCTGCTGGGCACAAATTTGCAGGATGTTTGCACTCTGAAAAAGCTCTTCTTTACTTCCCACAAACACAAGAATACCCTGTGAATCATTCAAGGCCAGGTTAGATGGGGCTTGGAGCAATCTGGTCTAGTGGAAGGTGTCTCTGCCCATGGCAGGGGGTGGAACAAGATGAGCTTTAAGGTCCTTTCCAACCCAAACCAGTCTGTGATTCTGTGCTGTGTGTGATATCCCTAAAACAACACAGGAATGGGGCTGCTTGGTCATAGAGAGGATAAAAGAAAGGCTGGTTCCAGGTCCTGCCCTCTCTGAACCTGCCCAGGAAGCACAACCAAAAGTTCCTGCTGCAATAAACCAGATGTCTGGCTTAGAACCAAAACCCCAGCAAGTCGGTGACAAAGTGTTTTCCTGTGGGATTTGGCAAACCAGAAAGGAGCAGGCTCTACACAGCCCAGAGCTCTGGGATGAGCTCCAGCCCTGCCTCAGACCTGGCTTAGCTGTCCTTCAGCACCAGCAATGTTCCTCCTGCCCCAGGGCCTCCATCTCATCCCGTCTCATCCATAAATTCAGACTGACATTGTCATTTCTGTGCATTTCAGTCTGGAGCAGTCCCTGAGACAGCGAACCAGAAACACAAAGCAAGGAGACACTCTAAGCTTTTATATAAATTGACAATTATTAACCCACTGGAAATCTCTTCATTATTGCTGAGCCCAATCTTGCTCTTCACTGAGAACAAGAAATCCACAGGATTTACAGCACAGTAAAAGGGAGTAAAAGCTTTTGAGCCAATTCTTCTCTTGCCTTCCCAGGAATGCCTTTGCTCAGTGGGAGTCTCCTTGATGGCCTGAATTTCCCCTACACTTCACTTTAAACAAAGATGTTTGGGGTCACCCTGCACAGCAAAGATTTGCCAATTAGCATTCTAATGATGCAGCTCATTAGGGCTCCTGTGAGGGAAGTAATTTCCAGCCCCTTCCAGAATGCAGGAGCTCACACACACGGGGTTGCTGATGAAGCCTTACAGGGAATTTCAGCTCCAGTAGCTCCTCATCTCCCCTGTGGATCCTCTCTGGAAGGATGTGCTGCTGACCTCGAAAAAACCCCAACCTCTGCTGACAGCTGGAGTACACCAGGAACACAGAACAATTTGATTATTGTTCGACAGATCAATATATAATGTGATTTAAAGAAAAGGAATTATCTACGAAACAGAAGCTCATATGGACAGAACCTGAACCAGTGCTGAAGGAGGTGGCCCCCCTGGAGCTCTGTGGGCTCCCACTGGGGAAATGGCCCCCATCCCACTGCACCTGCTATCTGTTGTCAAAATCATGGAATACAGACTAGCTTGGACTGGAAGGGTCCTGAAAGATAATCTCATTCCAACCCCCTGCCATGTTCTTCTTTCCATCCTTCTATCACTGAAAACATTGAAAATAATAATTTAATATTAATATTTTCAACGCTTTAATTCAGATTGAAGTAATTAAACTGTAATTACAGCAACATCTTCTGTTACTAGTAGGAAACCTTTACAGCCATGAGTCAAAATGGATCCCATTCAGGTGTGACCCTTCTCCAGGGAGGGAGTGTTTAAGAAGGGGCACAAGATCTAGTTTGGTCTTTCCAATTCTATCTGTGTCAGTCAGTCCAGGTTGGTAAGAGGCAGCACTTTGTGTGCATTTATCAGAAGGAATTTATTTACGGAAGATATTGTGTGGCAGTGATTGGCAAACACTCCTTCCCCTCAGACACTTTCGAGGGCAGGCTCTGTGCTCTCCACCCTCCCAGTGTGGGCCCACTCACACGCACACACAGAATATCACATTTGGTAACCACATTTAGCTGTAAAGGGCATGGCCTGGTCCGTGTCCACGTCTCACAGAGCGGTGGCTGGGCTGGGGCAGCCCAGGGGGTGCAAAAGGACAGGGGATTGTAGGCAACAAAAAACAGGTAACAGAAAACTCTCATCTGAAACTCAACAGCATCATGTCCTGGGTAATTCCAGCCCGAGGGACAGGTCTCCTTCTGATGACCTGCAGGGGCTCAGGGGTTGCACCCTGAGCCAGAAAGCCTTTGGGCTGGATATATCAGTGCTGGGATGTAACCCCCAGAGTTCATTTAGGATTGATGGAATGTGTGCTTGGGCATGTGCAGCTGAATTCCTAAAGTATTCCAGTACACAATACAAGCTGGTGCATCAAGCACAGATTTCCCTGATGCAGACCTGGGCTCCAGCACATCCCAGATGTTATTTCCTTTGAATAAACAAATATCGAATGGAGTTATAATTAATGTTGGGGTTTTAATTAAACTGAGATAATCAAGGAAAAAAATGTGGATGCTCAAGCCTCTCCTATAAATGTAAGAGTTAATACCTATACAAATTTCTCTTAGGTAACTGACAACTTATTTACTTGGATATAGGCGAGTGCTACCTATCCCTGGGAGTCTCCAAAATTACTTAAACACACACTAAAAATAAATAAAATAATATCCTAGAACTGCTTAGAAGAATAAAATAGCCTGTAAAGCAGTAGTTTATGATCCTGCAGGACACACAATTCCCAGTTTCCTTAGGCTGCAGCACCCTCCAGTGGGGTCCCTGCTGACGGGTTCTCTGCCATGGGGACACCCTGGCCCCCCCCCGGCTGCTGTTCCCTTCAACCCACAGGAGAGATTAAAATTGTAGTGGAATTAAAAGTTGGTGCTTAATGAATACATAAATTTGGTGTGTAAATAACACTTTTATAAAGCAGCTTTCTCAGTGCCTGCACATATCTGTGTTTATACAAATACTCATATTTCTATTTATGCATCTTTCTAACCCAAATATTTGTGTACCTAGACAAGCACAAATACTTATATCAAAATATTATTAAAAGCATGCTGAGAAGTTAAGCAGTTGCAAACTAAACCAGCTAAAAGCACTTTGAGCCCTGCCTGGCCTCCTGTGCCTGTGTCACCTCGAACACAGCTGAATTCACAGATCTCACTGACCTCACTGCTCTGGAAAGTCTAGCCCCTGGGGGACTGGTGTGACACCAAAGGGCACAGAGCACTGGGACCATGCTCTGAAACCTGCCAGCTGCCTAGCCAGGTTCAGTTCCCCCTCAAACATCCCTGGATCCTTCAATAATCCTAAAAACAGGACCCTCAGACAGTGCAAGGGTGGCCGCTGCCCCTGTCCCCATTGTGGTTACCAGTAACTCATTACCAGCACAAATCAGGAAAAAAGTGAGTGAAATTGTGAATTTAAACACTTTTCTGGTTGCTATTTGTCTTTTCAATGTAAAATGAAAAATATTTTCATCTCCTGCATTTAAAACATGTATTTTTAAAAGCAGCTCAACTGCTTGCTGTCCACACAAATCTGACAGTGTATTTAATTACCCCCCAGTAATTTTGTGTTGAGTCACCACCGATCTAAAAGCATAAAGTCAGCATTTGTGATTATATCACACTGAAATTCAACACCTAAATTACAGAAGTAAAATAGAGATAAATTAATGATGTTTAAATAAGGACTTTGGTAATTTCAATACCAAATTCAATGTTTTCTCTGTTATCATCTGAAGCATTTTAACCCAAATGAGAGAGACTAGCAGGTGAGGGAGTTCCAGAGCTCACAGAAACCCAGAATAAGGGGGTTCCAGCCCGTCTTACCTGCCCGGAGCTCTGTCTCCTTCCTGCCCTGTGCTCCCAGGGATGGGACCTTTGCCATGGCTGTGAACAGGACCTTGTTCCTGGCCTTGCCCCACAGCCCTGGGTTTCTGTGCTCAGCTGCAGATCCCATGTGGTCTATGACAGTCTGGAATTTCTTCTGGATTTCCTCTCTTCAGCTGTTTTTCTAGAGGATTCCTTTTCCCTTCTGGTTCCTGCACCAGCCTCCTGGGCTTGGGATCTGTGGGATTTGTGCTCCCTTTCCCCAAGGTGAGGACGTTTTCCAGCTGACATCATCTTCCAGTTGACAACATCTTCTGCTCCCTCTTGCTGCCTCCCCCAGACCAGCACATGTGGATCAGGGATAATTGTTTTAGTTCACTCTTTCCCAGGTTGAACTTTTTGCTGGGACAGTGTTTAGCCTTTTATTATCACTCAGGGACAGCAAATTATAAATTATTGTGTCATTTTGCTCATCATGGTTTTCTGAAAACTCAAAAAAAAAATTACAGCTTGATTTCCTGAATGTAGCTTCATGATTTTCCCTAAAACTGGGCTCTTGGGATATTCAACAAACCACGGGACAAACCCTGTGTTACAAAGAAATACCTTGGAACAAACCACTTCATTTTCACTTCTATTCATCTTGTCACGAGCTACTCCTCTGGAACTCTTCCTAAAGTCTTCTTTCAAAAGAGATTTTTAAAGAACTATGGATAACAAATATAAACGTGTGACATACAAACAGGACACGGGCACTTCTACACAGAAGCAATTTGCCACCTGCTTAGCAGGGAACCAAAATAATTCAGTGTATCTGAATTAGTTCTGTTGCTCCTGACAGAGCCAAGAGCTGTGTCCAGCAGCAGAGCCAGGATTCCACTGGAGGTTAGTTCAAGCAGCAGAGCCAGGACTTGGGGAAGGAGCCTGTGGCTGTAGGAGAGGGAGGAAGAGAGTTTTTGGCTTTCGTTGTCAGCTTAGTTCTGCCTTTTCCAAACACTCCATCAGGGATTTCAGTGGTGTGGATGTGGCCTGTGCAGGGATCTCCACACCCCCTGGTCCAGCCCCAGTCTGAAAGGGTCACAAGGATTGCACCTTCCATTGCCAGTAGCAAAGTATGAGAGAGATCTGGGGGGGTGGAAAGGGCAATGTCTCTGTTTCGGTCTCAGGAAGCAGGGCTGTCTTCCTGGGAATAACAGCAGGAGCAGCTGTAGCTCTCTCAGTAGGCTGAAACAAGATATAAAAACATGGATCAAAGAAAAGCCCATCTGGGCAAAAACAACACACACAAAACTTCTGTAAGGTTCTATTTATAATTATCTCTTGAATTGTGCAACTGTTAAAAAAGGATTTGTGTTATATTCCATTTGCTTGGGGAGTGTTTTCCTCAATGCCATCTATGCCATGGTAATTTCTGGCAGCACAAACAGAAATTGGGCAATTTATCCCCTATTTACATTGGGAAAAGGGGGATTCAGAGAGTACCCAGGGCCCTGTGGCACGATGCTTGGAGGAACACACCCTTATAAATGCCATGTTCTCCCCAAACCCCTCTGGTTGCTGTCCTGGAGGTAGGACAAGCTCCCTGGCTGCAAGCAGGTCAGACCCCATCCATGAAGGGAGAGGGGCTGAGGCTTCCATGGATTTCCAGCAAGGATCAGCTGGAGCAACCTCTGATGAAGTCACGAATAAGCATAGAATGGCTGTTTTCCCTGTTTCCCTTTTAAGCCTGCTGAATTTTTCCTTTTCCTTGTCCTTCCCTCTAAAGAAGGAAATTCTATTTGACAAGATTTTTTCTGCTGGTGCCCAGATTTCATGGTTTTTAAAGGCTTTGGAGATTTCCATTTTTAGGTTCTCTGGGGTGCCCAGGAGACCCTCCAATCCTGCCAATACAGCAAGGGAAGGGCTCTGATGCTTTATGAGAAAAAGAGGAGAGACCAGAGGTGACCCGAGGGCTTACCTTGTGCATGTGGCCTGAAGGGCTATGACCAAAGAATGAAAGCTAAAGAGAAAAATAAAAACAAAAATAAAAACTGAAAAGGGGAGGGAAGAGAGGAAAAAATGGAAGAGAAGAAAGAGATTAAGAGTTTACAGTGTGTTTAGCTGAGATAAAGCTGTGGTTACAGACAGAGTGCAACAAAACTCCCAGGTGAGAGGAAATATGGAGTGTGAAGTTGGATCCAAGGGCTCGGGGCTCGACTCAGCTCACCAGAGCCCCTTTGTCCCTTGGACTGGTGACAGTCATCCCCTGCCTCCTGAATCCAACCCAGCCCAGTCACAGCCACAGGCTCAGGGAAAACATCATCTGAATTCTTCTGACACCTCAAAACCCCCCAAACCCAACCCTGATGAGGTTTGGGTTCAGTCTCAGGTGCAAGTCCAGCTCAGCCCTGTTGGCCCTGACCAAGCTGTGCCATGGCCATGTCACTGGAAATGGGTGTGTTCAGCTGAGGGCAATTTTGGGGTCAAATACATCAGTTCTGACTGGAGAAAGGCCAATGACAGGAACTGCGGTGGCAGTGACGGCTGTGGCTGCAGGTGAGGGGACAAGAGCGAGGCCCCTCATTCCTGCTGGGAAAGGCTGGTCCATGCAGCTGCACGGGAAGATGCTGGAGATGGGAGAGAGGGAGCAAAGATCCTGGCTCCTTCCCCAGAGCACCTGCTGACCTCAACCCTCGCTCTCTCCCATCCCAGGGTGGATGGACCCTCATCTCTGCCAAGTCCTGTGTTATGGACTTCACTGAAGGACAGCAGAAGGAACGACTCAATTTAAGCAGTCAACCTGTCCTTCCCAGAGGGACTGATCCAAGTGCAAACTGGTTTCCTGGAGCTCTCCCACTTTCTCTCTGCACTGCACACACGAGCTCTCTAAGGACATTTCCTTAGCCCAGGTGAAATGAATAATGGTCATGTGCACACACAGCAGCTGTCCCAGCTGCATGACCTTACCTTTTCCTCTAACTCTTTTATTTGTCTTTTTTGGCCTTCAATTCTTTCTTCTAGCTCTTTAATTCTCTGTCAGATTTCAAATAAAAAAATATTTATTAACCAACCAAATAACAGATGTACCCAGAAGATGCATTAGTTTGGGGGATATAAATTGGATGTGCTGTGCTTCTACCAAAAATACATTGGGTATTAAGCTGCAGGTGAGTCCTCTGTGAATGACGAGGTCAGGAAAACCAAGATGCCCCGTGTGCAGGGTTATCCAAGGCCAACCAACATCTGCCCCAGGACCAGCCAGTGGTGGGACAGCTCTAGGAGCAGAGGCTGGTGCTCACAGGGACCATCCCACCCTGGATCCCACCATGTCCTGCCCCTGTGCCCACCTGCTGTGCGTGTTGGATGAGCTCCATCCTTTCCCGCAGGATTTGGGCGTCCCTCTCCCGGAGCTCACTCATCACCTGCCGCTTCCATTGCTCCACGGCGCTCTTCAGCTTCTCCTTCTCCTCTTCTGAAAGAAGTTCGGAAATTTTGGCTCCAGCTTCTTGCTGCAGGGCATCATAGAGCATGGCTTCTAATTCCAGAATTTGCTAATCAAAAACAATATAAGGCTGTCAGCTCGACCTTGTCCCTGGTGGGGTGAGGAGTTTGTGAGGAACTGAACATCCAGGTAAGGCAGTGGGAGCATTGGAGGGGTTTCTGTGCTGAGCCTCCCACACAGGACAGCGTGTAAAACTCAATCCAAAGGGAAAATACTTCAGGCTGCCTTTATCCCATGGGGTTCTGAGGAGCACTGGAACTGTAACAGCTCTGGGCCCAGTGCAGTCTGTCCCTCATACATGTGGGGGAGTCAGCTTATCCTTCCTGGGGATGGGAGATGGCCATGGGGAGAGAAGCGAAAAGGAAAAAAAAAGAAAGGAAAGGGGAAAGGGAGAAGGGAATAGGGAGAAGGAAAAAGGGAGAAGGGACATTCAAAGAAGACTCATTTTGTGAGTTACAGATACTTTTTACATGTAGTTTTCAGTCCCTCAGTTCCCCTTTCCCATCTCTCCAGTTCACAGCAGCAGAGGACACGGCAGGACCAGTCCATGCTCCCGCCAGGAAGGAACAACTCCCTGCTGTGTGTGTGCAGATTTTGTACCAACCAGCTGAAATGCTTTGTGGGAAGGCGTTCCCAGCCCTTCCTCTGGCAGAGCTCTCAGCTCTGAGAGGCTCCATGCTCAAGGAAATGAACCTGTCTGGTAGCTGGGCTCTGCTTCTGCAGTCTCAGGCTGCAGAGCCTTCACTGTGTCAGAAGGGGCACCTCACGCAGGCAGATGAGCCCTCCAGATTCACTGAGATGGAGAAGTGCGTGGGAAATGGGCTGGCAGTGTTTCCCAGGGTCACTGAGCCTGGCACCCTCCTAGGGCAGGTGGCCTTGCCAGACAATGTCTTCTGCTTTGGAATCCAAGACAAATGCTATTCCCTCAGACAAACCAAAAGCAAGCTGCAATCTTTTTCAGCAAGTTTGATACAGAGCAAGACAAAGGACAGCAACTGATGGCACCTCTGCACACCCTCTCCAGAGCTGGTGGTGTCTTGCAAAGCTTTCCCTGGTCTCAGAAGAACCCCACTGCAATAGAATCACAGAATTTTTGTGGCTGGAAAAGTCCTCAAGGTCCATCAAGTCCAACCATTCCCTCAGCGCTGTCAAGGCCACCACTAACCCATGCCCTCAAGTGCCAGACTGGGGACACAGCTTTTAAAGCCCCCCAGGGTCTGTTGTGATAATTCAGCTCAATTCAAAATCATGTTTCTCCACCCAAGGCTGCTGGTGGTGTTTCCTCACTATGGCTTAGCAGAGCCAGGACAGCAGAACACACTCACAGGGACAGTGACACCCTGGCAGAAGTTACAGCACTGATGATAACCCACCTCCGTGGGGAAGATCACATCAGATCTCAGCAGAAGATTCTGCTTTCCCATTATAAAACAACCCCAACACCCTCACTAACCTTGTCCTAACAAAACACTGTTACTTGGGACATGGGTTTGTGCTTGGCCCCAAACTGCTGGGCCTGGGCACATTCCCTGTCTCCAGAGCAGCAGCAGTGTGAGCCAAGTGCTTCCCGGAGCAGAATCCCCTCCAGCAGCCACTGGAGTGAGAACCGTGCAGACAGATTAGCGGTTCCGGCTGGTAATCTTGTTGGCTCCCGTTCAGGAGGGATGGTGATTAGCAGCTCCCCATCTCCAGGGGCACAAAAGAAACATGGAAGTGAAGCAAATTTTATAAAGCAGAAGAGCTTTTGCCACTCGAATTGTGGGGCAGAACAAAGCTTTCTGTTGCTTTCAGGCTGCATTTGTGCCTGGGAGCAAAGCCCAGTGCTGTGCCTGGGATATGTGTGTGATGCCTTCAAAAAATACAGGAAAATTAAATAACCCTCTGCCCCCTCTGCATGGGCTGCACAGAGTCATTGCACTCACTCTTTCCCCATGAGCAGCAGAGCTGAGGAGCTGAACTGTTGTTGGGCCCTTTGGTAAATTTGGGATCGTGGATTGGGAGATCCATCTCATGGCTGTGAGCTGCAGGGGTGCTGAGGGACACCTGAATTCACAGCAATGCCTCCATGTCTGAGCTCTCCTGCATACTCCATGACATTCCCAGGAGTTTCAAGTTATGCCATATGCTTTTTCCACTCTGCTGCTGTTGTGAGTTTCCACACAGATTTCTGGCTCTATTCAGAACTCACCCAAGACCCAGCAGATCTCTGCTGTCAGGGTTTAAGTGTGAGGATGGGTCCTACAGATTCACCCTTTGGCTGCACCAAACTGCTTCTCAGGGCAGCTCAGTGCTGCAAGAGATCATGGAATCACAAAATCCCAGACTGGTTTGGTTTGGGAGAGATGTTAAAGAACATTTTGTTCCACCCCCTGCCATGGGCAGGGAACTTCCCCTGTAAGATGTTAAGGCTGAGACCGCAGGTAAGGGGTGCTTGTTTGGTTCCCAGGGTTTCCACTGTGCATTGGTTTCAGATGCAGCTCAGCGTCTGGCAAAATCAGTCATAAAAGTCACCCTCACAGGACAGAGAGTGTATGGAGTAAAAGCTCCCCCAAATGGTTTGAGATACAAACAGATAACAGGATCCAAAACCAGCCCTAAATACTCATTGCTCCTCAGAAAGTGTAACTGTGCTCAAGGTTTACACAGAACTGCAAAAATGAAATAGAGATGAAAATTTATGTATTCATGTCTTTTGTGAATATATATTAAACCTTTCCCTCACTGAAGGAAACGAAACAGCTGATGACTGAAGGGATGGGTGAAAACACCTTAGGATCAGCTAATGATGAGCCTGACCTAAGAGTAGTTTCATTTCAAACTTATAGAATCCCAGAATCCCTCCAGCTGCTTTGGTTACAGAGGCTGTAATCCAAGATCCAAGGAAATGTCTAGGCTAAAATATCTATTTGGGAAAGAAAAGTTACTGAAAACATAATTTCATTACCAGTCCTTTACTAAAACCTCTGGTGAATTAAAACTTGTATTTCCTAAACCTGCAAGTGCCGCCCAAATCCAGGGAATTCTGTTCACGAGGAACTCATTGTCAGCTCAGGGTGTAGAGGATCAGGCTAACACTCAGCCTGTCATACTCCACAGGGAGTCCACAGGGAACAGACCACACACATCACACCAGGTGAGTTAATTGAGGTGTAATAACTCAGTCAAGACTGATGTCCCTCACCTTGTGAGCCTGGTCCAGGGACTGCTTCCTGAAGTCCAGCTCATCGTCCAGGTAGCCCTTTTGCTTGCTGAACAGCTCCTGGGGACCAAGGAAGGGGCTGTCAGTGACCACCACACCCCACCAGGGGTCCTCCAGCCCCTCCCCTGTTGCTCCTTCCCCGGTACCTTCTCGTTTTCCAGGTCCAGCATTTTCTGCTGCAGCGCCGACTCCGTCACCTCAATCTGCTGGAGCCACTGCACAGACAGAGAGCAGAGCCAAGCCTGAGCAGGGCACAGCCTGTGAGCCCAGCTTCCCTGGGACTCAGGGTGTGTCAGCGCACAGAAAGTACTCAAATAAAAGCAAAATTAACTATACAATTATATTTTTCTTTTCTATATATTGGTGATGAAAAAATGGCGTATTTCAAAGCCTGACCATTACCTTCTGACACTGCTTTGTTAGTTCAGTACTATTTTAAATTAAGCAGTGTCTGTCTGCATTGCCATAATGTTACCTTTACTTTGACAAAAACTAGTGTAATTCCACATAAAGCATTGTGGTGTTTTGTGATGGAACCATCATCTACATCACCAGTGTGTATTCTGAGAGGCACATGTGTACTGAGGAGTGATGCACTGGTTGTTACCTTTTCAGCCAATGTGAGGACAGTCCTTGCTTGTATGATGACTACTTGCTCTTCGTTGGTCAGGTTCTGCATCAAAACAAAATACAATTACAACAAATCCCAGTGTCTTGTTATTAACCCACTACTTAGGCCACTGCTGCATTAAATAAATCTGAAATTAAATATGTTCAAGGAATAATAAACCAAGGCAGAGAAAATTAGTATTGTAATGCAACATTGTTGTAAAAGCCATTGTCAGTACTCATACCGAATCCTTATCATACATAGAGTTAATTATCCTAAAATTCTCATATTTACCAAATAAAAAAGGTGACACTGGATCTATTTTTACCCAAAAGGGAGTAAACACACAGCTACACAGGACAAGATCAAGCTCAGCACGAAGTGCCACTGAGAGAAGAGACACAGTGTCCATCCCATGCACAATCCTCACTTTGCCAGCCAAGCCATGATTTTGGGAAGCATTTGTTGAGATGTTGGCTATTCCATCCATCTTCTTTTGCTTTTTAATAAAATCAAAGTAGTGAAACTGGGGTTTGCATTTCATCCCAAACTTCAGTCTGACACAGATACAGCAGGAGAAGGGAATCCCCTCGGCTGGGCCTTGCTTGTGTCTGGACCCAGAGCAGCATCAGCCCACGGGGCCGGGGGAAGGTGGTGATCAGGGTGACTGTGATGAGCTGCAATTCAAGGCACAGCCTGGGGACAGTGACAGTGCTGTCCAGCAGGGATAGACCTGTAGAATCCCAGACTGGTTTGGGTTGGAAAGGACCCTAAAACCCATCTCATTCCAACTCCCCTGTCATGGGCAGGGACATTTTCCACTAGCCCAGGTTGCCTTGGACACTTCCAGGGATGGGGCAGCCACAGCTTCTCTGGGCAACCTGTGCCAGGGCCTCACCACCCTCAGGTACTTATAGTTTTGTTACTTCCAGGCTGCCCTGCAGCCCTGGGAATGGTGTTTCCCTGTTATCCAACCTGTCCAGAGGCACAGGGAGAGCTGGGGTGCAGCCCGGGTGCAGAGCTGTGAGAATGGTGGAGATCTTTCTGCAGCCCCAGTGAAGGTGGTGGGGTCCCCCAGGAGGACCCCAGAGTGGATGAGGGCTCTCTAAGACCCTGGGCTGGAGAGGGCTCTGCTTTCCTCAGCCCCTCACAGCCCCAGGTGCTCTGCTGAGAGAGGAGAGCGCAGGAGAAGATACAGAAAGACACATGGATCTCCCATGCACACAACCATTTGTGTGATTAGTCACTGCCACTTGCTGAAGGAAAACACTTGCAAATTTCTTATTATTTGCTTACCTTTTGTTTAATATCCTGGTTACTATCAGGGGTTTATAGGTCATTAAACAAAATTAAAACACGCAGCTGCTGAAATGCAAAAGCAAAGCAAACGCAGAGCAAGCAAATCAAGAAACCATGTGACCAGTGGCCAGAAAACACCAAACACCAACGTTATTTTCCAAATGACAGAAATATTAAGAACAAAATGGTGACGTTGAGCCCCTGTGTGGCACTTCAGCAGGCTGGTAACAAAACCTTAAAAAGCCAGAAAATGCTTCGCTCGCAGCCCAAACAGAGCAGGACAGGCTGTGCAGCACCAAGCCCAGGTGGCCTTGCTCGCTTGACACGAGGACAAGTATTCCCCAAAGCATGCACAATTTATTAAAGGAACATACACTTACGGCGTTATCCCCTAAAATGTCCAATTTTTTCATCAGCTCTGCTACTACTATGTCCTGACAAGAGAGAAATGGAGAACCAGGAGTCAGCACAGTGTGTCTGATTTTGTTTAGGGAGAGGAGGATAGGAAAGGAGAATCCCTTACTGTTACACCTTCTGCCTCGCAGTACACCTGGAGGGGGCTCTTCCCCTCTGTGAACGGGCCGTGCAGGAAGTTGATGGCAGGGGACCGTCTCTCCCTCTCCTGAAAGGACAGTAATTCCTTGGTTACCCCCTCTGGTGTGTCAGTCACATCACGGAGTCATGGAAGTGTTTCGGTTGGAAGGGACCTTAAACACCATCTCATCCCACCCTGTGCCATGGGCAGGGACACCTTCCACTATACTAAGTTGCTTCAAGCCCCATCCAGCTTGGCCTTGAACACTTTCAGGGATGGGGCAGCCACAGCTTCTCTGGGCAACAATAGATTTCAACAAAACTATACCATAATAAATACACAATACAGATTGCATTGAAATTTTGTTTGTAAGTGGCTGCTTTGTTAATGTCTCCTTGGAGAATTTCAGAACCAGTTTCCAAGAGCTCTCGGGTTCTGTCTGTACAGGTAGGGATACAGAAAACAGAAGGCTCAGGGGAGTAACTGCAGTGGCTACTTGATTCCTCCTGTGCAAATTTAGCAAGAGGTGAAACACTGTGATCATTTTTGGCAATGAAAAAAATTCCTTTCTATTTTTCTTTCCCAGGGATGATCCATTCTGGTTTTACCTATTTGCCTTTTCAGTACAGAAGGAGAACAGTAAAATGCACATTTACAGCATGGGCCAATTTTCTGGATCTTAAAACTACTTAAGCAGTAACACTGCCAGAACAATCTATGGTGAATATCAGTGTTGATTCCTGGTTGCTTGGGGTTTTCCCCTTTTATTAGCACTTTGTACCAAGGCCTGTGGCCTCGCTCAGTGCAGTGTGTCCCTCTCCAGACACCCCTGTTCCCAAACCACCAGTGCCTCCGGCCCCGGCTCACAAAGCCCAGGGCAGGACCGTGGCTGCCACACGTGCTCACTTCCAGCTCCAAGATCCTGAACTCCAGAAGCTCATTTTGGTCCTTCACGTCCTGGACATCATGTTTCAGACGAGCTTCCTCGGCTTCCATCTGTTTGATCTGCAAAAGAGACAAAGCAACTCGTCCTTAGCACTGTTAGCAGAGTCACTCCTGATCCACTGTGCACTGACCCTGCTGGGACAGGGCTGGGGACACTGGGGGCTCAGCCCACCCCCCTGGGGGCAGTGGGAGCACTGGGGGTCCCAGCCCACCCCAGGATCATCATGAGCAGGGACACGTGACCCCAGTCATGGGGGGACACAGGGCTCTCCCCTAGAGCCACCGTCCTCACATGGCCTCGCACCAGACACGTGTGGGCCAACAGGGAATGTTGGAAACCCACTTCTCCCCAGAGGTTTATATGGATCTTGTATTACACATAAATTATTGCTACAGAGCTGTGCAACACAGATTAAAATACTGCCCTTTCTGCATCCCTTCAGCTACAAATATTATCGGAATAATACAAATAGAAGCATTGAACACCTTTTCTACAAGTTCCTGATTTCTTCTGTAGAGTGCTTGCTTCTCCTCAATCCACTTCATGTCCTTGGGAAGGAAAGGACCAACACAGAAGGTGAAGCTGGCAATGTTTAGCACCAACACAGCAGCAAGTATTTCACTAAATCTCACATATAGAAGGACAGAGCAACACTGCATGGAAAACTGTATTTTCATTGTTTCCTAAAATAACTTCTTAGGCTAAACTTGGCCATCTTATTTTAACGGAGTCTGTAGTATGCAAATAGAATGGAAACATTCCAGTGATTAAAAAACTTCTTCAGATCAAAAATTTGCATTAAAGGGGATATTTCCAGCTATGTGTCTACTATTAAATTTCTAGTTTGCTAAATACAAATGACATATTTCTGAAGATCAGGCAAAATAAACCTTATTTGGAAATTAATCTCTTAGTCTGAGGGACAGAACACTGTTTATCAGCAAGGGCAACAACAATAGGAGGTTAAACTGGAAAGTCAACTATGAAATGATTTAATATTATTTTGAAGTTCTCAAAACAATTTTCTGTTTATTTTTTCTTTTTGTTTTGGTTGGTTGGTTGGTTGGGTTTTGTCTGGAAAAGTACTACAAAAGCTGGAAGCAACCTGGGAACATTTCTGGTTCCCCAGCAGGGAGGCAGGGCAAGGGCTGGAGTCATTTGTGGTGTTACCTGTCCCTGCTCAGCCAGGGCCTTCTCCAGGTCTTCTATCTGAGCCTGGGACCGGTGGATTTCTGCTTGGAGCTGCTCACGTGTCTGTGGGATACGACGGAGAAAGAAAAAAAACAACGAATCAATAAATAATACAAATTTCTCCAAAAGACCAAAGCTAACGCAGGTACAGAAAATACTCAAAACACCAAATATTTTCAACAAGTGATTTTTAAAGTTCTTTGGCAGAATGAACTTGAGCACACAGCATCAGCCAGGAATCAAATAAAGTCTGTGAGGTGGGATAATGATTTTGAGATTTAAGTCCAGATTAACAAAACAGTGAAGCAGAGGTGGCTCCTCATGGTTGGTCACGGCAGGCTGCAGCCAGCAACCCCCCTGCTCTGGAACAATGAGTGTAAAAAGCCATTTCTCTACGAAAACAAATGAAAATTAGTATGCCACAGTTCTGGGCACACCTGGTTCCCTTAAATTTGGGGAAAGTTAAAAAGCTCAGGGCAGACCCCACATATATAACATTGGAGAACGGCAAATTCCATTGACTGTTGTGCCGTTACCACCTTATCTATGATTTACTGCCTTATCTATGATTTACTACCTTACCTGTTTAGTATCTGTTTAGGGTCTTCCTGTACTGTGTGTCATTGTTTACTATACTTGTATCTTCCTGCTTATGTATACAGACAACACCTTCCTACACATTTGGAGAATAAATGCAGTTATTATCAGCTGCCTTATTCATTAAATAGTTTTATAGAACACTTTCTGTCCTCAAACCGTTTCTCTGCTCTTTATCCTGTCATTGACACTGAAAATGATCTTGTTTGCATGACCTACACTAATCTCTCTTTTTGCTCACTATGGAAAAATTAAAATCAAGTCACTTTTCCAGTTGGGCATATCCTGGTTCACTATGATTTTCATTCCAAGTGCAATCCCTAACACGTCAGAGCATCCCAGACATCAGTTCTGGGAATATGTCTGGGAATGTCAGTTTTCGTGCTTTTCACCTTGATCTACTGTAAGTGTTCCTGGATAACACCTTCACACAACAGATGTAGGATCAAATTAGGGCTCTGCAGGTGCCTTTCTCCTGTTAAACATCAGCTGTTCAGTTTGAACCCCTTGCCATGTGCAGGGACACCTTCCACTAGCCCAGGTTACTTCAAGCACCATCCAACCTGGCCTTGCACATTTCCAGGGATGGGGCAGCCACAGCTTCTCTGGGCAACCTGTGCCAGGGTCTCACCACCCTCACAGCCAAGAACTCCTTTCTAACTCTTTGGAACATACAACAAACTCATAACAAATGCAATACTTTAGCCCAGCTGTCAGGAGCCTCAGGGGCTGCATAAGCACATGGGCAGGCAGAGCAGCACAGGGCATTTTGCAATTTAATTAAGAGAAAAAAATCTCAGCTATAAGCCTTCTAAACATTTCATGAGGCATCATGTAATCTCTCAGATCCCAGAAGGAATTAAACACCACGCATTATACATTTAAGGCTATCTGTCCTAGTTCTTTATAGAAAAAGAGCTTAATTTCAAGGATTTCCCGTAAAAATTTCTCTCTGGATTTCCCTTAAACTTATCAGAGATGAAAAGACTCAGCTGCAGCAATGGTGGATCCTCAGCAAACCCTTCCTTGGGAGGCTGGTTGGAGTCAGAGACTCCAGAGACCCCCAGCCAAGCCTCCCTGGCTGACTCCCAGCCTGGCTGCTGCAGGTGTGATTGAGAACAACCTGAGCAGGTACAATTGGACCTCTCCCCCACCCTTACAATTCCAACTCTTTATGTTCATGTAATATAAGCCATGTAGACCTTAACTTCTCGTTCTGCATCCAGGGTCCCTCCGACCTGCTCCTGCAGCAGGGCATAGGCTCGTTGCAGGGCCTGGTATTCCATGGTTAGCTGCCGGAACCGCAGCTCTGTCTCCTCCTTGGCCATGCCCTGCAACCAAAACACAGAGTGGATTAGGCATGTTTTCTCTAAAAAGTGCCAAAATGATCACTTTTGAAATGCAATTTGGGAAGCACAGCACTAAGGATTTTGTTTATGTGCCCTCAGACTACTTCTCTTCTCCCCCTAAACACTTCCAGAAAATGAAATACAGAAATAAAAAGATAATCCCCTGCCTTAAAAAGATAAAAACTTGCCATCCATGTAACACACTAATGATGCATCACCCTTTCTTACTGTAACAGGGAAAACCATCACATTAAAGGTGAAAACACAACTTTCTTGAAACAACAAAAGGTTTCCAATCTGAGGAGGAAGCCAAGCCTGACAGCCTCACTCAATTATTAAAACACGAATCCAGAGCTAATACTTGTAGGAGTGGTGACAGCAACATGAAAGGAGCCCTTCATCTTCTTCACCCTCCTTACAATATCCAGCATGAAATGCTTTCATGTCAGGCTGGCCAGAATATTTCACTCAAAATGAAATGAAATTACACTGCTGGGTGCAGGCACCAACTCCCCACCAGCTGAACAGGGGAAAACATGAAGGAAGGAAAACCAAACAGGCTCATGCATCCACAAATGCATTCAGATTCCTGCAGTGCAGCACACACCTGGTAACCATCACAGATCTCTTATGATGGAGACAGGGATTGTCCAGGTTGCCTCTGACAGATCTAATTACAGCCCATGGCACAGGTGAACGGGCAGCAGAGAACCTGCAGCCAGTGCACCATGGAAAGGCTGCACCTCATCAGTGGCAATTTTCTGCCTGTTACAAGATTCTTGTTAAACCCAGAACCATGTAATGGTCCAGTGATCTGACACACACTGAGGAATACATTTGTATGGAAGCCTTGTAAAATACCAGGAATAATAATCTCTTTGATTTGTATTACCTTTGTGTACTCTGCACTGAGAGCTCCAGAACAGCCCAACCTCCATAATCCAGTGAGGAACCAGCCTTTCCCTGGACGATGGAGCTTTAGGGGAATGCTTCCTGCTCCTTCCCCAAACACAAACCTCATTGCTCTGGGCCGAGGTCAGAATGGCAAACAGAAGGATCTGACCCAAACTACACGTGCCCAAATCTGCAGCCAAGCTCAGAGTGAACAGACCTCCCGAGGATTGTCTGACTTTTCAGCCTTTTTAGACCTCTGACATATAAACCTGCTGTAAATTTAATATCCTTATGAGATATCATTTCCAGCTTGGCTACAAGCTGTGAAATTACTGAAGACCTGAGTTCCAGAGATACCAACCAACAAGCACAGTATCAAATTTAATATAAATGGTTAATTTTTTGGTCTGAGGTGAGAGAGGAATGATAGAACAGACCAGGAATTCCATTAAAAACTAGCAGTGAGTTTGCAAACCAAAGTAACATGGATTTTTGATGAGTACCTCTTCTAAGTCATCCTCAGGAGTGCAGGGGGTCTGGTCTGTCCGGTCAGTTTGGTAGGAGATGGAGGAACCATCTGACTCCAGGGAAGCTTCGTCATCGTAGCCGTAAAATGTCTCCACAACTGGCTTCTGGCAGAGACAGAGGTCAGGGAATGTGGCCAAGCCATGGGCCCTGCAAGCCCCTGAGCTGGGGACAGTACTGGCCCTGGACACCTGGATTAACTGTGCCTCTGTGGGATCTGAACATTGGCACCTGGGAGAAACCTCAGTGCCAGGCTGTTGGGAATTCTCACTCTGCTGCTCTTTGGGAATTGGTGCAGCTCTTTACACATGAATACACAGAAGTCTTTTCACCCCATGCCAGTGACAACAGCTAAAATGATTTAAAACACTGAACTGCCATATTTGCCATTAGGTATCACAGTGTGTGACCTCACAGCCCTTGCCTTTCTAAATGTATTTTCCTCCCAGTTTCTCTAAGGCCAAGCACCCTTTTCACCAAGTGTTCACCTCAGCATAAGGTGGGACCTGTGCACTGAAATGCCTTTTAATCCATCATCATCACCACGATGTCCCCCCTGTCATCACCACAACTGTCACATGAAAACTTAAGATCTTCAACAAGTATTCTATTTGAAAATGTGAATTTAATCACTACAGCAGTGTGTTTATGGTTTGAAGAAATCCACTTTTCCATTCAAAGCTGCTTTTTGTTTAAAAGAATGAAGGGAGTGGTGGTAAAGGAAGATTTACCAGAAACACTTGAAAGCTAAAGACAACATTTCACAGATCAAAAAATATTTTTAATTGATAATTTACAAAAACATATCTAGATTTCGGCTTTTTGTCTTAATTTGCAGTGGGTAACTTTTGAAGGAGAATCACAGAATCCCAGACTGGTTTGGGTTGGAAGGGATCTTAAAGATCATTTAGTTCCAACCACCTGCCATGGGCAGGGACACCTTCCACTAGCCCAGGTTGCTCCAAGCCCCATCCAACCTGGCCTGGGACACTTCCAGGGATGGGGCAGCCACAGCTTCTCTGGGCAACCTGTGTCAGAGCCTCACCACTCCCACAGCCAAAAATTCCTTCCCAATCTCCCATCTAACCCTGCTCTTTGGCAGTGGGAAGTCATTCCCTGTGTCCTGGCACTCCAGGCCCCTGGTCAAAATCCCACCCAGCTTTCAGAGAGAGACAGAATGTGGCCCTCTCTGGAAGGCCTGCCTGCCATGTGCAGGATGACAGGAGTTATCTCCCATCGACCTCAATTAGTTATTTATAGATTAATTAGCTCCAGCCCCACCCTAATTTTTCATCTGTAGATCACAGAGTGCTCATAGTCTCTGACATTAAACCTTTCTGTGCCATTACAGTGTTAATATTTACATTAACACCCTGCCAAGTTCTCATTAACTAACATTCCCTTTTCCCTGAGCTCCAACCACGGCTTCTCATAACGGGCAATTTTTGCATGTTACTAAACATCACCATGAATTATTTAAAACATACACATGTTTTCAGGCAGTGTCATTAGAAGATCATTTTGAGATGTGTTAATTCATAAAATCTGTCTCCTCCTAAAACAACCACATCCCACCAAAGTCCCACAGGGTAAGTCTAGGGCATGGAAAGGCTCAGAATGTGCAATGCAAAGGGGTCCCCTGCCCCTCCCAGATTTTTCCAAAATATCCCAAAATGGTCTGTGAATGTCCTTGAACTACGTCACCCAAATTTAGGCTTAGGACCCATTTGCATACCCTTCAGGAGAACATTCCTCCATGTGGCCCTGAGGTACCTGGAGCACCCCAGAACCAGCACTGCCCATCAGCATGTCACTGTACAAGCTTTTTCTTTTTACCTTAGGAATTCTTGTCATTTTTTTCCTTTGCTTCCTGAACCTTAACAACTTATCACGTTCCTGCAAGAACCAGAGACATGTGTTAGCTGTTTGCAGAGAGCTGCTATTCAAATTAACCACATCAGTGCTGGGAGCCATTGGGCAAGCAAGAAACAGGAATGTCACTGCTGGACACTGTCACCAGGCATGGGTTAGTTTACTCCAACATCTTTCAGGTTTGCATATACAAGTAGCTATTGCTCTTTATGAAAATCTAACTAAAATAAAGCTGATTATAAGCAACACAATGCAGTGAGACCTTGGGCTGCTCCGTGGGTGGCTGTAGCACTCCAGCCCACGCCCAGGTTCTGCTCTCTCTGCCAAGAAAGAGAAGCAGAGACTGGTCCTGCTCTTGGCTCTGGTGGCTGTTGGTGCCTCTGGAAGGTGCACACACACAGTAGCCCCACTGCACAAAATTCAGGGGCTGTTTGAACTCAGCACTTTCAGAGTCAGCTCCGTCTCTGCAGGTTCCTAGTGACCCTGGGAAAAGGTTTGAGCACTTACTGCTGCCAGCATTTTTTTCCAATCAGAGGAAATCATGGAATCATCAAATCCCAGACTGGTTTGGGTTGGAAGGGACCCTAAATATCACCTTCTTCCACTCCCTGCCATGGCAGGGACACCTTCCACTAGACCAGGTTGCTCCAAGTCCTGTCCAACCTGGCCTTGGACACTTCCAGGGATGGGGCAGCCACAGCTTCTCTGGGCAACCTGTGCCAGGGCCTCACCACCCTCACTGGGAAGAACTCCTTCCTCTTTGTGGAGTCAGGTCGACTTTTTACAGCACTGAGAAAAAAGTCTCTGTTCTAGACTGCAAATCCAGGCAAAGCCCAGAATTGTAGAGGGGAAGTTCTAAAGGGAAAACCCTTAGATCTTTCATTTTAACCAGCTGGTAGAAGGATGTGATGACATTGTGGGACACTGACAATGTGCCACTGCCATGAGCCCGATGGCAAATCCCGCTGTCAGCAGCAGTGGCAGAGGACAATCGAACACTCATTGCTTGGCAATGGGGAACAGGACATCCCATCAATACCTATTAGTGCTTAACTCCACAAAGTCCCTGCTGGTCATAACAGGGATGACTCGGGCAAGGGCAGGGACTGAGCACAGGCCAGTGTGGGTGACACAAAGCCAGGGGTAACCTGAGTTAAAAAATGCAATTTCCATGTGGCAGAGCTGTCCTGGACATGGCTCTTGGCCACTGAGGCAGGTGGTGGGATTAAAGCTTTTCTCTCCACTATCACTGTGTTTTTCTCTGGTGAACAACTGCTGATACAACATCTACATTGAGAAAACAGTGTGCCAGCTCACTGCTGAACAGAAATAGGAGGGAGAACAAATATTGTTATACTCTGCCTCCTTTCCACAGACAGCAATTTAAAGTGTACAAACATGGGGAGGAAGTTAATGCCATTCTTACCATGACACTCTTCACATAGCCAGCAGTCTCCAGGGTCTGATAAAAAAGAATGAAATAATGTCAGTAAGTGGACAGGCTTAAAAAGAAAGGAAAGAAAATTATTTTCTGGAGGAGTATTAGTATTTTGGTGCTTTCTGTTTCCAGAGACTGAGAATGTATTAACAAAGAAGCAAACCCTCTAACCCAGCATTGCAGACCACCCTCTGTACACAGGAATCTTTAGCCCCAGTGATGTCTCCAGCTGAAGGAGCTCAGACACTTTCCCTCACAGGTGCTGGATCTGGCCACCAGACATGGTTCTGTCCTGCCAGTGCAATGCAGATGGAAAGGGTTTTTCCAAACATCACACCACAGATCAATTACTTTTATTACCACTAAGCACAGAAATGCCTGCCAGGTTCCACTGCTGTGCCTGTGGGCTCCCAGGACCCTGAGCACCCCTTGCTTAGGCTTCCTCTGCCCTGCCCTTGGTCACTCTCCTGTGAGAGCAGCATTGTTCCATCTTACCTTGGAGAGTTCATCAATGATGTTTTGCTGCTCAACAACTTGTAGTCTCAGGAAATCAACTTCTCTTTCTTCCTGGCTGTGGTCAAGGTCATTTAAGGAGCTTGGTCTCCTTATTGCTCCAGTTCTTTGCCTCTAAAACCAAAAACCACAGGGCAGATGAGGAAATGATCAGGAGGCTTTGCCAAAGGACTTGTCTAACCCTTCCCTGTACAGTGAGTGGTGCATGTCTGTAATGGTTGTTCCGGCAGCTCTCCTGCTCTCCTTTTGTTGAGTCTCACACCCAGGTTGCAAATGTGCTGGCTGGTCCTGCTCCTCTGATTGGAAAAAAGGGCAGAGTCACAAGTGCAGATTTCCCAGGCATTACTAGGTGATTCTGGCAGGAAAGTCAAAGCTGAATCATAGAATCCCTGACTGATTTGCATTGGAAGGGACTTTAAAGACAGTCCAGTCCTACCCCCTGCCACAGACAGGACACCTTCCACTAGATCAGGTTGCTCTAAGCCCTGTCCAACCTGGCCTGAAACACTTCCAGGGATGGGGCATGAAATGGGGAGATCTGTGCCCATGTGGAGGCTGAGCAGCCCCCAAGGGAGCAGTCACCCAATCAACATGTGCAAAGCTCACACCATTCCTTTCCTTCAGAGCTATTTGTCTTTGAGGCTAAAGTACATCCTACGTTGTTTTTTTACATTTTACACGTTCATGTAAAACCAAACATGTCCAAGGCACAAACCACTCCACAGTACAGCACATCTCAGCAAGTGCTGGAGTGGGGACAGTTTCCTATGGAACCAGTAGGTTTGGGATGATGCCTGACCCCCTCAGCCTCATCAGTTCCAGCCCCCCTGTTCTCCCAGGAGCACACAGACTCTCACCATCGCGATATTTTCTTGTGTCACGAATTTCAATTTATTTTCCATTCGACGTAAGGCATGTGACAACTCCTCATTCTTCCTACTAAGGCGTTTGTTCTTGTCCAGAATGGGCTTATACTGACTTTCCGCTTCTCTGAGACGTTTTAACTGAAAGATAAAGAGAGAGTTAACACCTCTGGAGCTTTTTCAGTGAATATATTAATAATTTTCTTTAACAATCCCACTAGCAGTATTTCCTCCTTGTGAAAAGCATAATTGATTAAAAACTCTTGGTGCTTTCCTATGGGAAGAGATCATTCCTCCTTCATGAGATATTCAATCTGTGAAACAAAGGTTCCATATGGGGCATGCATTGATTTTTAAAAGGAAATAAAAATAATTCCAGCTAATGCCACCTCAAAACTTCATTGTCATACAAGCCAAGAGGAGTGTGACATGGCACAGCACCGAACAGAGAGCTAAAGAGGCGCAGCCAGGATTTTCAAACAGCACAGGAGAAATATCCCGGTATTTCTGGGACAAGGCATGGCCCCGGCAGCACATCCCCCAGTCCCCATCCCTGCTGCCCTCACCAGCTCGTTCCTCTCCTCCGACAGCAGGGCGTTCCTGTCCTCCAGCTTCCTGATGATGCCGCTCAGCTCCGCGATTTTCAGTTGGAAGCGCCGGGCATCCTTTTCATCCAACTGCTGTTCCTAAAACAAAGATCAACTGCAAATAACTGTTCATAAGTGTACACGCCAGAGCACGTTTTCAAAGCTCAAACTTTTTCTTATCCCAAATCCAAACATTTCAAAACATTATCGGGCAGAGTGTAACCCATGGAACCCAAGTGACCATGGAAAGCTGCAGGATGAGACCAACGGAAAGTCAGGAGTGGAAATGTAACAAAGAATGCAAATGCAGAAGTATGTATATGTATATGCATATGCAAAGTCACAAATGGTAAACTTGGAAACAGAAAATATCCAACTGAAGGCCATGTTCCAATGATGCCACTGTTGAACTGAGAGCTTCAGACACATTGCTCACTGAGGTCTTGGCCATAAGAAAACGATATTAAAATTACTGAAGTACAAATGGGGAAAATTCATGAAATTGTGCCATTGCAAAAGCTCTTCTTCCACAAAGCTGTGACCTTTATGGGGTCCTAAAGGGTCACTTGTCACTTTACTTGAGTGAAAATGCTTAAATCAAATCAGAGAGGAATAGAGATATAGATAGATGTGTTCTCATTCAGAGAAGTTACAGCTGTTGACAAATGTGACGGACCTTTCCCCTTCTCTAGGACTTGTTCTGGTCTTTGGCAGAAGTTGAATATAACTCAAAGAGGCAAATTAGCGCCCACAGTGCCGGTGGCACTTTTTGGGAGGTCTAGGGTTCCTCATTCAACAGGTGCAGGAGAGGCTTGGGCCAAAGAATGAAATAGATAGGTTTGCTCATGTATAAATTTTACACTTGTACTGAGAAAATCAAGGTTCTTGCAAAAGAAATCTTGATGAGGATCAGCAATGAGGACGACCTGCACACGTCAGAGGTACGAGGTCAGTTACTTGAGGGGTTTGTCTGAGCAAAGGAAGGCCAAAGCAGAAGGGGGCCAGAGTTACATTGAAAAAGGCATTGTGGAAGGGTGACTAAAATTGAATGTTTTGGATATTGCAGAAAATAAATAGGAAGGAGAAGGTTAGGAAGTCTTTGATTCACTTTGTGGCCCACTGACAGCGAGAGCACTTGGCAGGTGTCCCGGGGGCTGTGGGGTTTCCATGCTCTCACCACCCCCATTCCCTCTATAACTGGCCTCGTCCATCTGCCCCCCGAGCCCCGTGCTCGCAGTTCCAGAGCTGCACACATACATCACTTGGTGAGAAATGCATTTGCATCATTTGTTGGCAGAATCGTGTCAAACTGTCAGACTAAGGCGGGTGGCTGAGCATGGTACAGTGAGGAGAAGGAGAGAAAGAACAGAGAAATTTCCCCCTGCTGACACAACCAAACCAAACCAAACCGACCAGGAAACAAAGCGACAGAAAGCAAAGGCTCTCCCATGACAGGGTCTGATTTGAAATCAATGGTTTGGATAAAGCAGGAGCACGGAGCGGGTGCCTCAGGCTCCCCAGCACGGCCATGGGAAAGCTCTTGCTCCAGGGAGCACTCATCAAGATTCTGTCACTTGGTGCCCTTTGGTCTCTGTTTAGGTGAAACCACGTGAAAGTGCTTACGGGGCTTCCCGAATGATCTGAAGCGTCTCCTGCACCACTTGCATAAGGAAGTTCCCGCTTGGGGCTGCTCAGATGCCGGTCAGACTCTTTGAGCTGGGAGAGTTGTTCATCTAAAGCCTCCTTTTGGAGCTGCAGTCTCTGAGCATGCCCGGCTCGCACCCCTAACTCTCTCTCCAGCACGAAGACTGCTCTGTCCTTAAACTTAATCTCCTCCATCTACAAGGAGAACAGAACACAATCACACAGGAGCAGCGGCTCGACAACAGCATCCCGGAGAACCCCTGCCCACGGAAACACAGCACCGCTCCCGGGAGCCAGAACATGGACACTGGACAGTGAACATCAGGCTCAATCACTTCAGGAACATCGCCCTTCTGCTGGGACAACCCAGAGGGAAATCTCTTTTTCGGCAGGAATTTTGTCATTAAAGTGATTCAGAAATACCCCATGCTCTTATCACCATTTCAGGATATCTTAAAAAAAAATTAAAACTTAACATTCACATGACAGTTTGATTAGCTCACTCGAACATTTTAATGATTTTGCAGCATTTTTCTTGGGCATCACCTTTGGAAATTTTGAATTCATAATTTTAAAAGAAAAATACTAAAATGTGAATATCCTTTTATTTGCAAAATATAGAAGAAATGTAATTTTTAAATTTTTTTCCCCGAAGGTCTCTCATGTGAGCAATTTAATCATTCCCTTCTTATGAGAGGTTTTGCTTATACATAATAAACATGCAAAATCATTAAGTGCTTAAATGACAAATGTCCAGTGACCTCTAATTCTCTTTTTCCCTGTTTGCCTGTGCTGAGGGGCTGTGCACATCCCATGGGATCAGCCAGGATACAACCCTTGTGAAGGGTGGTTGGGCCCTGCCTAATTATGGAAAATCCCTAATCCCAGCCCAAATTGCCTTGGGTGCCTGTGCTGCTGCACCCACTGCAGCAGGATCTGTGGCTCTTCCCAGCTGGATCACAGACATATACATTAAACATGGATGTAAAGCATTAATTATGCTCACACACTACATGTGGTACAGACACTGATTCTTTGGAAAGAAAGAAATCACATCCATCCCCTCAGGTGTCTGTGAGCTGGTTTCAGACACCATAAATACAAGATTTTTAGCATCAGTTTTTGAGACTTTAGACATTTAATTTAAATGATCCCTTTTTAAACCTGGTCTGCTTGAAATAAGCACATTTTGCCTTGTGAGAATTGTGTTAATACTTTTATCTCTGCTTTGTCTGTAAACTTGGAAAAAAATTACATTGGGGATCAACAGTCACTCCAAGGACTTTTTGGATACCAGTATGGCCCAGCCAAGAGAAAAGCAGGTGCTGGCAGGTCACACAGGTATCAGGAGAGTCAAGTGGAGCTGATGAAATGTATTTTGGGTATCACAGACTTTCAACAATGTCCATGAAGGCAGTGCCTGCTAACTTTGAATGAAACAAAGAGATGTCTCCTGAGCACCTGAGGTCCTTCTGCTAAATGCCTAATCAGGGAGAAATCTAAACAGATGTACAGATGACAAGGGAACACATCATCAAATGATTATTTGCCGAAATAAGCAGAATACTGGCTAGTTGATCCCTATTTATATGAAAACAAAGACATGTTACAACAAAGGCAACACATGAAATCGGGAGGAACAAAGAAACTGGAGAAAACACAAAACATTTCACAGCATTTCACTAATGGTTTGTTGTCCAGGAAAAAAAAAAGCAAACCCTAAACAAAATCACAAACCACAAGGAAACATCAGCATTCCCATTTTCCTTCATATCATTAAATTCCCATATGTGAAACATTCACAACAGTTTGGTGTTTGCAGCCCGTTACTAAACACAAATGTTGCAGAAACAGCACAAATGGAAGGAAGCATTTTCCTGGAAAACGGCATCCAGTCATTAATAAAATTAAGGACATGTACAGACAAGAGACCCCTCGGAACTCACTGGAATTGGTGTCGGTTGCCCAGGGTGGGTGCCCAGCCCGGCCTCATTCTGCGCTGGTGCTGGACTGGGGACACTCTGGGGCTCCTCTCTCTGCTCCCACCCCTGCCTGATGGCTTGGGTGCTTGGGAAGGGCTTGGGAAGGGGCGTCAGCATGCAGAAGCATCCAACCACCTGCGAGACACCCTGCGCCGCGGATATTCCCACTTTATTCCAGAGGCTGGGATGAATATTTATGCTCTATGCTAATTCATACCCAGCCGTGAGCACAGCTGATGCCAATTACACAAATACAGCCCCTGCAAGGTGAAATCTGCTGTTTCCTCCTCGTGCTCCCCAGTGCACACCCGGCGCAGCCCGACCCTCCGATGGCTTTAGGCCGTGACTCTTTCAAACATATCATTTCCATCCTGATTCAAACCCAATGTGCAGTTCCTGCTTGGGGAATTTCTCCCTGCAATGTTCCTGGGGCCTTTGCAAACTGACAGACGCTGTCAGAAATGGCCTTTGAAGCTCCCAGTGCCTGGGATCAAAGCCAGTCCCACTGGGCAGGGGGCACATGCAGAGGGGAATCCCTGTCCAGCTGGAGCTACTCCATGACAGACATGATTCCCAGTGTCAGAGCTGGTAGCTAGGACACATGAGGAGACCTGTCCCCAGCCTGGTCTCCAGATGGGACTGGTGGCTGGGTGATGAGGTGCCCAGGTGAGAGGAGATGGGTGGCTCTTGGGGGTGACACCCCTGAGAGAGGGCGTTCAGGCACAGGGGGCACAGGGGACACACGCCCTGCTCGTCCACCTTCCCTCCCTAGAGATAAACCCCACTGCCTCCTGGTGGGACCTGTCACCCAGCAGCAGCCAGATTCACTCAGAATCTTGGCTTGGGTTTAGAGGGACCCGAAAGCTCATCTTGGTCCAACCCCCAGTGGAACCATCCAGTGCCACTGGTCACTGCCATGAATGAAGTGTGGGGTGTCCCAGACCCTCTGGAGGCAGAAACCCCACATCCAGTGCCAGCAGCTTCCAAGCTCTTCCAGAGGCCCCAGTCCAAGCCCTGTGTCAGGTGTGTTGTGGCACAGCACCACAGCTACAGCTCAGAAGAGAGGAGGATCACAGAGAAAAATGTTTTTTAAACTCTGGCCTGTGAGACACCAAAGGAATGACTCAGAACTAGGAGGTTCATTGACCTTGTTAAGTGTAGGAGAAATGTTGTCTGGCTTTTAATATACAGCAAAATCCTCCAGTCCAGGTTTTAGTCGGAAAAAATACTGTTGGAAACGAGGGTCAAATCACAAATGACTAAAAAATGCCCAGCTGGCAGAATGAATGACTCCCCTTGAATGCTGTGTGCACCTGCAGTGTAGGTGAGTGTTGAGCCACCTTTATAATACCAAATATGGGGATTTCTCACCACAGGAGGGAATCAAAAGGAGAAGATAAAGACTAAATCAATCACTGATAAAATTAATATTTAAAAAGTCAGCTTCCTACCCTTTCATCTGATCCCACCCTTTAAATCAGACATCTTCACTAATTTACCACTGTCTGACAGGGAGCTCAGGGTCTCTGTCTGAGAACACAGAGGTTCAGAATGGTGCAGAAAACCTCCATCTTCTCTTTGGCTGTGAGATGGCACTGCCATGAGGAACCCGTGAAGATCTCAATGAACAGTGGTCTTACAGAGGTAATGGAGAAAGTTGTTAAAGCTTTTTGTAGTCATCATCAGCTAAAGTTTATCTAAATTGAAAATAACCACTACTCAGCCTCTAATAAATCTAATACACTCAGTTTTTCTGATTTCTCAGTACCCTGGTAAAGGAACCAGGAGGAAGGAGGTTGCAGTGGCCATGGCTGTGCAGAACTTCTCCTTCCTGACCAATCTACAGCTAATTAAAATTTAAATGCTTTCCACCACATTGAATTTTGGTTCCCATCAAGCAAACTTCGAGGTCAACTGATCACAGGGAACCCTCTTGACTGAAAGCTGCCTCCCCTGGCTGTGCACACACTAACTCAGGGAGTGCTCCTGAGCATACAAATGTAATTAAATACATCCACGTAGTATTTTAGGCTGGTTTAAAATGCACAAATTGAAATTTAAAACTGGTTTACTAAAATTAGAAATTCTCTCGAAAGGAGGCCGTTCCACACGTCCTCGTTACCATCTGCAAGGGAATTTCATCTCTTGCAGCACCATTGCTGAACGTTCTGAGCCAGGGACAGCTCAACTGGGTTAGCTGAACGTCTCCGGGGAGCCTCACGCTCAGACTGTACAGACACAAACAGCACGAGCCATATGTGCAAACACACAACACGAGCCCAGAACAGCCTGAACACACATTTTGGAGAAACACATTATTCCCTTTCCTGTGCTGTCCACAGTGCTGAAAGATGCTCAGCCCTCCCGCATGGGACTGGTCCAAAGCTGTTGGATCCACGAGTAACAGTCACCCTGAACCTGAAAATAACTACAGTAAAGAGCTGGGATTTTTATTTGGTAAATACTCAGAATCACAGGATCATTTGGGTTGGAAAAGCCCTCCCAGACCATCGAGTCCACCCTGTGCCCAATCCCCACCTTGTCACCCAGCCCAGAGCACTGAGTGCCACGTTCAGTCCTTCCTTGGACACCTCCAGGGATGGGGACTCTACCACCTCCCTGGGCAGCCCCTTCCAATGCCTGACCACCTTTTCCAGGAGGAAATTCCTCCTGATGTCCAACCTGAACCATCTCTGGCACAGCTTGAGGCTGTTTCTTCTTGTCCTGTCCCTTGTTCCCTGGGAGCAGAGCCCAACCTTCACCTGGCTCCCCTCTTCTGTCAGGGAGTTGCAGAGAGCGAGAAGGTCTTTTTGATTGGTCACAGGCTGGACTCGGTGATCTTGGAGGTCTTTTCCAGCCTTAAATATTCTGTGATTCTATGACTTGGAAATGAAGAACTGAACCTATCAGACATCAATCACTTCAAAAACAACCTTGTGCTAAAGGGCCTCACACCATTGCAAAGCCAAACCCAGACAAGCACAACTCGTTTTTCTCTACTCTGATTAAACTAAAAAATAACTTTTTTCCTAAGCATGAAATTAAAATTCGCCTAAAGGCTACTCCCTCCTTGATTAAAACAACTAAATAATGCATTGTACACAAACCATGATGCTTTTAAACCCTGAGCTGAATCTTTGGGCAGCTCAGGGCTGGCCCCTCAGCTGTCAGTGCCATGGGATGCAGGTGTGATTCCAGAGCTCTGTGGGATGGATGGACCTGCTCAGCTCCAGCTCCCCTGTGTGTCTCTGCCTCACTGCAACCCCACTGAGGCTCAACGACTGCACTTTATGGCTGGGTCCTCTCTGAAAAGGAAGGAAACACTGGTTTCCAGTGATAGTTGAAGTGTTTTGGTAATTGCCTCATTGTCATAGAGAGCTTTTATCACATGAGGCAGCACCAGCCTTTCCCCCAAACATCAGGGCCCTCCCTGCAAGGTGCCAGGAGCCAGCAGTCCACACTGAAATTATTTCTGGTTGAGTCAATGGAGCTGAGAGTACTTGAAGCAATCCAGGAAGCACTCAGGGCTTGGTGAAACCATGGCATCAGGTAATTTCATTAGTGCAGTTTAACTAATCTCATTCTTTCTAGCAGGAATTAAAAAAAAAAAAGTTTGATTTTCAAAGGCAATTTAGAAAACATACCATCAAACCACTCTATTCCTTTTAACTAAGACCATATTTATTTAACAGCTTCTCCATTAAGGGCCATTAGTGGGGACTTTCCATGTGATGCAGCAAGTTTATTTAGGATGTCCATTAGCCACCCTTTCACTGGGATGTATGAAATCAATGCACCAGCGATGAATGGTTAGAGGAAGGGACTTACTCTGCAGGATATTTGAACAGCATCAACAGATCAGTTGGTTACAAATTATTTTAACATCCTCTCTTCATAAAAATAAAATAATCTATGAAAAAGACTTAACAACCTAAAGTCTGAGAGACGTGGTGGCTAAATAAAGGTAGGAAACACTCTACTAGTGGTGTGTCAGTCCCTGCCAGGCTCTTTGGGTCATCAGGACACGGGTGACGCTGTTCCAGCCCTGGGATGGGTAGGAGGTTCTTCCAGGTGGTCTCTGCAGCAAGGCCACACTGCCAGGCTTTGATTTGGGGCCAGGCTGCAAGCAATTTGAGCATTATTAATTGTTTTTTTAGGATTTGGATAATAGCCTAGGATCAATGGCTTAGGAGAAACATGGATGACTTTGCACCAGGACACTGTGTGGCAAACACAGAACGATGGTGACATCACAGAAATACTGAGACAAGACCCAAAATACACACGATGGCAGCATGGCTGTCTTCCCAGGTCCTTGGGAAAGGCAGAGGGAGTTCAGGGATACACTCCCTGTGCACTCACAAGATGGGAGTCCCAAGGCAAGAGTCTGAGACAGCAGTGAAGAATAAACCACCCTGAACCCCAGGAGGTGCTGGTGGCCTGCCTGGCTCTCATGCACAGGCTCCCTGTAAGGGAGCTCCCTCCTGCAGGAAGTTCCTCCCTTTTCCAAGGACCATGATCCATTTCAATCTCCCCAGCCAGTTTCCAAACATGCTGGAGGTGCATTCAAAAGCACAAGAGTGAAGCTCTTGCACCTGAGGCTCCGAAGCTGGATTAGGTGAGTGCAGGCTGAGCCGCCCCACACAAAGGGCCTGTGAGGATCAGGGGAGCAGGGAAGATGAGGATCCCAGGGACCTGCTGGGATCAGGAGCCTGTGGAGTCAGGCAGGAGAACCAGCCCTTGTCCAGGGGAAAGCCACCAAGGTGGGTATGGAGAGGAATTCCCCCTGAATACCTTGCTGGGTATGTAGGACTCAGGGACGCAGAAGAAGAGCATTTTGGGTTTCTGTAGGGCTCATTATGGGATGTTCACGGGAACTAGCAAAGGCAGGGAAAGGGAGGGACCAAGCAACACTTGGTTAGGAAATAAAGGCCTAGACCCAGAAACATAACTCTTCTGTAGCATTCCACTAAGTAGACAGGAATCTGAGAGCTCTTCCTGATGTCTGAAATGTGAACAACATTAACAGGCACTGACACAGATAGAGAGGTTCCTTACAAAACGTCCTGATAGTTTTAAAAAACAGTTCAAAGTTTCTACTCGTAAATGTAAAACAGGTTTGAAGCAAGTTTCAAATTTTCAACACCCATCCCTATCCCCTCAGCTGAGTCCAGCACTGATCACTTCCTGACTATCAATAACGTAAGTTGAACCACAGATGAAAAGAGCAACACGTACCAGTCTACGAATCTCTCTCTCGCACTCCCTCTTGATCCTGGTGATTTCCTCCTGGTGCAGGTGGTACACACTCCTGATCTCTGCTGCTTTGATTTTGTCAGCTTGGATGACCATGGTTAGAGCCTCCTCCACTTGTTTCTTAGCCCCCTTCAGCTCAGAAATCTCCTGCTGCATTTTGATTTTCTCCACCTCAAAGCCCCTCTTGGCCTCCTCCTTGGCCTCCGAGAGCAGCACCGTTTTCACCTTGTCGGGACCCCCATCGCGCACGGCGTTGAGCAGGGTCTGCAGTCTCTGGATTTCATTGTCCTTAATTTTTATTACTCTGAGCAGTTCAGCTTCGTGCTGCCTCAGAAGTGCTTCTCGAACAGCTTGGAGCTCCTTCATTTTGTCCTCATGCAGTTTGACTTTGAGCTCTGTGACCACCACGGTGCTTTTATGCTGTTCGTGCTCCTTGATCTGCTTCACTTCCTGGTTTTTCTCTCTTTCCAACTTGCTGACCTACAAGGAAAAGCAGAAAGTACTCTACTGTCAATCAAAAAAATGATTAGTACAAACCATTATATTATTTAAAAATTATACAGGTCACTTTACAACGTCAGAGTTCAATGCTGTATGTCTATGTCTACAGATTCATAGCAAAGCCCTTTTACTGGATACCAGCATAAACAGAAATATCTGCATATTAGAAAAAGAAACAAAAATATATAATTATCATTTCGCAAATTATTGATACTGAGGCTGAAACCCCAGGTATCAATGCTGATTTTAGCATCTTATTCTATCTTCAGAATTAAAAAATTATCCCTTGCAATCTTATGGACTCTTTAATTCACCCAGTTTAGTGCTCTAGAAAGCATGTGGTACACAATATAAATAATTAGCACAAATTTATGCAAGAAGAAGAGAACCCACATGACCAAACCACCCACATCCAAACTCTGGAGGAGGTGTATGCTCAGAAACTGGGCTGACATGGGTATACCAGGTGCTACAAACAGATTAATGTGTGAGATAATACACATCTAGGAACCAGGCAGTATCTTGTGAGTAAGGCTGAGTCCTTACTTTAGTCTGCAGAAGCTCTCACACCACATCACCAATGGAATACATGAGAAATCAGATGCCAAGTCACCATTTTGGCTTGTCAGGCACAGAGACCCAACCTGCACAGAGCACATGTGCACAGGGAAGACACACAAAGCTCCTGTGAAACCCCAAGCAGCTGCATTTTACCAGATGCTTTCTAAGCAATGAGTTATTCAGTGCAAATAACTGACTGTACCTGAGCACACAGGGCTCAGATGATGTTTCAATTTAAAACCATGACATAAATTCTAAAGCAGCCATGACCAGAAGTGGTGGGGGAGAACAGAGAGAAGGAAAATAGAGTCCTCAGCCTTAAAACTGCAAATGCTGCTTCACATCAAAAGGATTAACAGATCTTCTATTTTTATATCATCTATGTATATATATGTTGGATTCATAATCTACAATGCCTCATGATGATGCAAATGTATAAGGCAGCCATGAGTGGGGCAGAGAGTGGTCAGAAATAACAGACTACACTGAGATTGCTGGGGGAAGGAAAGGGAAGCTGCACACCTTACTCTTTTCCTGCTGGAGCTCTATCTGGATGTCAGTGAGTTTGGCCCTGAGCTCCTCATTGGCAGCCTGCAGGGCGGCCAAGGCGTCCGGCTTGTCCCCTCTGGCCCGGCTGCTGGAGCCCTTCTTGGACATGGTGAGGCCGTGGCAGGGAGGGCAATCCCGCCTGGAGCCCCTGGCCCAGCACTCGCTCCGGCTCCTGCGCCTCCCGCCGGAACACTACATCTTCCTGTGCCTGGAAAAGGGAGAGCACAGTCACACCCAGAGAGAGGGGTGGGTGGGGATGGGACACCACCACAAACACGAGGAACTTCCATACGCATGAGGGACAGGGCAGCCAGCTGAAGGGGCTCCTCCCTGCATTCAGTATGGAATCACAGATTTGTTCCAGCTGGAAAAGCCTTCTGAGCCCTTAGAGTCCAACCACTGCCCCAGCTCTGCCAAGGCCATGGATAATAGCCTTGGATAATAACCCTATGGTTAACCATGGATAATAACCCTAACCCTAACCCGTGTTCCCAAGTGCTACATCCACACAGCTTTTAAATCCCTTCAGGGATGAGGATTCCACCACAGCCCTGGGCGGCTGTGTCAGGGTTGGACAAACCTTCTGGTGATGGAATTTTCCCCAATATCCAACCTAAACCTGCCCTGGTGCAACTTGATGCCATTTCCTCTTGTCCTGTCACTTGTTACATGAGAAAAGAGCCCAACCTCCTGTCAGGGTGTGTTTCATCCCTTCACCTGCACTGGAAGTCACACAGTGCAAAGGATATGGAATGTTCATGAGGGATGTCCACACACCATCCCCTGGCACCGTCAAGGCCTGGAGACAGCAACCCCCAGGAAAACTATTTTCATAGAATCATAAAATCATGGAATCACAGGATTGTTATATTACAAAATTCCATAGAAAAAGCAGCTCAAATCTGGGAGAATGTTTCCAACCTTTTTTATTCTAATCTTGTTAATGTGGATAACAATTTCCTTGGACGATGACCTTCAGTGCTTTGGTTTATTCCTCATGACTCATGGTCAAAAACCACAATGGAGCAGCACCGTTCCCTGTTGGAGCGTGAGTGAAGGGGCTTCACAGGTCAGGGCAGCTGTAATGAGAAAATAACAATCACTGATAATAGTAAAATAGCAACTACAGAATAATAGAATAATAATAATAACAACAATAACAACAACTCTACTCTGATTTGAATTCTAAGAGCAAAATCCTGAATCTATTAAGGAGAAAAGAGCCAAGTAAGGCAGCTGCTCCAGGGATATATAAATGGGATACAGAGCTGGGAGAAGCCTGAGAGCATCTGGGAGAGGGGGTGGAGTTTGGGAGGCACAGGGCAAAGTTGCTGAGAACTGGAAAAATCATGTAGTACAGGCAGTTACTACACATCTGTACTGGGTCAGAGGGACAGTGGGAAGGCTGAGACTTAAGAGAAACAAGTAAAGGAATAAAATAATATTTCTGATACTAATTGTCCAAATCAAAGTGGTACAGTCTCAGTTCTGCTGCTTCTCAGGCTGATAGTTGACTTTGTAGCCTAGAAGTGTCTATAAAAAGAAACATGTTTGGTTGGGCAAAGAAATAGAAATAAATTAAATTTTAAAGATGTTGCCTGAAAAACCTGTAACAGGAGCAGACGTTCTTTGCATTTAATATTCTTGCTGCTTTGTGCAAGCAGACACAACGCACCAGTGATCTACAATGGAGCTTTAAACCCTCTTTCTTTATTGATATAAAAATGGGGCAGCCTATAGCCACAGGCACAGGGCTCTACCTGCTGCGATGCGTGAGGCCTTTGTGCACTTTACAATTCTTTTCTTCAGTGATCTCCTGTAATGGCAGAAGCAGTGGTGAGCCAGGTTATCTCACAACCTGAGGAAATGAGCAGTGCACTACGAGCTTTAACTGCTTCCACTTGAATGGCAGACAAATTACAATTTGAATGGTACAGGGCTTTGTGAGAGTAATTGCAATCAGGATTCCTTTTGACAGACAAGGGCTATGAGAATTTTTGCTTGCTTGCTTACAGAGAATAAAACTGAGGAACTGATACTGTGGAGCACAGTTCACTTGGTGAGAATGCTGTCTGAGGTTGATTTGTAGAACCACATGTCCTCACGCTTCCAGTTTTTAAGCTTTTTAATTTTGTTTAAATGTTACCAAGGCCTAATTGTATGATTTGGTACAGTTCATGTCAAGCAGCTGCCTAAACCTGATTCTTCTCTACTGAAAGACAAAATGTAGAAGGGTTGGCTTATTTCAAAGAAGAAAGGTTTGTACAGCCCCGTTTGCTCCAAGCAGGTCCCCAAAACCTTTAAAGAAGAACTGAAATATTATCAAAAAAGTCAGAGGATCCCAGACTGGTTTGGGTGGGAAGGGACCATAAAACTCATCCAGTCCCACCACCTGGCAGGGACACTTTCCACTATCCCAGGCTGCTCCAAGCCCCGTCCAACCTGGCCTTGAATACTTCCAGGGATGGGGCAGCCACAGCTTCTCTTGGGAACCAGCACTGGAAACATCTCCCAGACTGGAATGCTGAAGCCTTAATGAGATTTTCCCAGAGAACTCAGGACATTCTCTGATTCTGTAGTTTACATGGTCTGGAGTCGTCGGTCCATTTAATGCACAAAGGGTTGTTATTGCCAGGGATAATAATGCAAAATTGGACTGGACAGAGTCAGACAGCTTCTAGTGACACCCAGGACCTTCTGTGTGTGCAGAGGGACAAGTGTCATTGTTGGGCACCACGACAGTCACTGTTTGTACTCCAGCACTGCTGGCCCTGTGGCCCAGAGCAGCCGGGTCTGGCGGGGAGGCCCCGCGTGGAAGAGCCATCTGAGACTGCTGCACAAATGCCGGGCTTGAAACAACATTTCTGCCAAATGCTGGGAGAAAAACATGCCACAAAAACATTTCTGGGCCACCATCGCTGTGCTGATACGTGTGTGCAGCAAGGAGGCGGTTTATCAGGGAACACAAACCTGGTTGCTCAGGCTCTGTGCTGGCTCCAGGTGACACACAGGGAGCCCAGGAGGCCAAGGGGCCAAAACTGAGCCCAGACACTCAACAAGCCCAGTCCCTATAGGGAACAGAGCAGCTGGCTGGGACTCCTCACCACAGCACTGGGTAGAGGAGTCATTCCCTAGAAAAAGTCACCTGCCTTTGGATTTTTCCCCAATTTTTCCAATGAGTTACATAGAAGGGGCATCTATCAGACACACCACCTTAATAAAACAGAAAGGTCCTCATATTTTTTATTCTGGTAGAATAGATTATGCATCTTCTTCCTGGTGTGTTTGATATTGAAAACAGCATCAATAATGCATCAGAGCTGCCTTGAGCTGGGCTCAGAGTTCCCTTTGCCTCCTGACTTGTAATTCAAACATCAAGGCTAATTGGAAAATGTGTTTTCTAGGTAGTAGTTTCTGAAATCAATGTTTCACTGCACTTAACAATAAATGAATAAATCCCTACCCAGGGTACCAATATTTTAAACAAAACATAGCTTAAGCAACATGCTGTTCTTACAAATACTGCACATTTCCAAGGTCTGCCACAGCCCCTGAGCACTGATGTTTTCTATTTCTGACAAATTGTTCTAATTAATTAGTTTAGACAAACCTTGTTGAGCCTCTGGTGAACCTCAAAATATTATAATAGAAAGAAAATGCAATATTGTCTATGGGAGAGTTCCCGCTTCCTCCTATGAGTAATCTCCATGTTCCATTTAGGATTGCAGCAGCCTATAGATCCGAATGCAAGAAAATGAGTTTTCCTCTGAAACGGAATTTCATGCTAAGCCAATGCAATCACATTCAGTACTGGATTTGTGCCTTGGGGTTTTTTTGTACAAACATTTGTCACAAATAGTGTATTATTCGCTCAGCTGCAACACGAGAAGAAAACCTGTTGGAAATTACACGGAAAACAGAGTAAACTGGTAGCTGAGATCAAGAAACAACTGCCAAGGCCTGTATTGTCCTGTACCCAGGGTTATGCTGTGTATTTCCTGCATACAGAGAATCCCAGAATCCCAGAATCACTGAGGATGGAAAAGGACTCCCAGCCCATCAGTCCAACCTGTGCCCGATCCCCAGCTTGTCACCCAGCCCAGAGCACTGAGTGCCACCTCCAGTCCTTCCTGGGACACCTCCAGGGATGGGGACTCCACCTGGGCAGCCCCTTCCAATGCCTGACCACTCTTTCCAGGAAGAAATTCCTCCTGATGTCCAACCTGAACCATCCCTGGCACAGCTTGAGGCCATTTCCTCTCGTCCTGTCCCTTGTTCCCTGGGAGCAGAGTCTGACCCCCCCCTGGCTACCCCCTCCTGTCAGGGAGTTGCAGAGAGTGAGAAGGTCTCCCCTGAGCCTCCTTTTCTCCAGGCTGAGCCCCTCCAGCTCCCTCAGCTGCTCCTGGTGCTCCAGACCCTTCCCCAGCTCCTTTCCCTTCCCTGGACATCCCAGGAGGATTTTTTGCTTCTGCTGTTTAATGATTGAATTGAGACTAGTTTGATAAAATCCTGGTTATTTTTAAAAATACAATCAATGTTGGTAACTCAACCCAGATTCCAAAGAGCCATATCTGACTTGTCCATGCTTTTTCTGAGAAAGGTTTAGGCTCCCCACACTGCAAAGGTAACGTAATCCATTACCATCAGTCAGATGCTTTAAAGCAAATCTCCATTTCCATAAGGAAAAAAAACAACCAACCAACATTTTCCAGTGTGAAATAAGCTCTGAAACCTATCCTTGATGAAATAATATCTGCTTAAAATCAAAAACAATGCCCCTCTCCCCCCCAAACCCCGATATCTAGTACTGGGTCCCTGCAGATGGAAGTCTAGCCAAAGTTCTGCCGAGGATTAGATCAATTCCAGCAGCAGCTGTAACAGACACATGTCAAATCCTGACTGACCTGAATTTTTCCTCAAAGATTAATCCTTCAACCATTGTTGGCTTTAACTCATTGATGGGTGGATCATGTTTACAAACCCTTAGCAAAACCCTGACCTTTGTAACCTCTACATTTGTAGTTCACGCAGACTCCTCTCTGCAGACACCTTGTGTCTGTAGTTTCCTGTTTGGTCACACACATGGGTCTAAATCCCATCCTCTGGGTTTTTTTTTTTAGTTTGTTTGTTTGTTTGGTGGGGTTTGTTTGTTTGGTTTGGGGGTTTTTGTTTTTATGCAAATAACAATTGGGTGTCAATCATGTGACTGGTTAATAGTTTATAGGGAAGAGCTGGAGCTGTGCTAGGGGAGGGTTACACTGGATTTCAGGAAAAGGTTCTTTTTCTTTCCCCAGAGGGTGGTTGGGCACTGAACAGGCTCCCCAGGGCAGTGGTCACGGCCCCAAGGCTGCCAGAGCTCAAGGAATGTTTGGACAATGCTCTCAGGGACAGGGTGGGATTGTTGGGGTGTCATAGGCAGGGCAAGGAGTTGGACTGGATGGTCCTTGTGGGTCCCTTTCAACTCAGGAGATTCTGTGAATTCCACTACTGTCAGACACAATTGCTGCTAAATCCCAGCAGGTACATTTTAAAGCACGACACCTGTTTAATTTTACATCTCCTATGGCTAATTTCCAGAAAGAGGTATAATTAATTAAAAACAGAGTCGAGTATGTAGGAAGCTCATTTTTCTTTTTTTCTCAGATAATCCCCAATATTTAAGGTACAAAAATCCACTGGAGTTATTGCAATAACACTGCAATAGCACACCTATCCAAATTCTCTGTTAAAATAGAGCAGCTCAGCATAATTCCAGTGCTTTGGGGAGGATTATTAGCGAGGAATATATTTCAGACTAATTCCATCAGTTTAATATTGTGTCACTCTGTTATCTTGCTCTCAAACAAACTGTTAGAGCAATGCCATCCCTTTTCCCAAGGAATTCATGCCTGTATAATTAACTAAATCAACTGTAACACAGATGGCATCGCACCATCCAAAAGCACTTGATGGAAACATTTTAAGCATGTTATTAACATCCCTAAATAACTATTTAATGCTACCTCTCCAACCCTCTTCGGCACCAACATGCAACACAGCTGGATTTGAGGGTGGAAAAGGCAGTATTTAACTGCTACACTCTTATAAAAGATTTTCAGTTCTCAGATTTATTCAATTTATAAATGAGCTTGAAAATAACAGACTCGACAGTGGCAACAAAAACATTGTGGTTTAGATTTGAGAATTAAGATTAATTTCCAGACTGACTCATCATCATCAGATTCAGCTGTGAGGAACTGGGCAGAAGGGAAGGACTGTGTTGGGAGGAGGAACCTTTCTTTAGGCTGGCCATGGTTATACAAAAATTGTCTATTTGACAATGTGTTTTATGTCTCTGGAGGTGTGTGGCCAGCTCTAAACCAAGATAAAAACTTACAGTTCACAGCAACAGACAAGATTTTGAATGGAAAGTCGATTAATCTCCCCAATGCAAACAGCTGCTAATGGTCAGATGCCCATCAAGCTCCGGTAGAAAGCTGCTCTTTTGGCCCCCAAAACTGAGGATCATATTATTTCAAACCTGATTTTTCATTAGTAAATATCCTAATGGAAATAACCTTTTCTTGACAGTTGCTGTGACTCCTCTCCCTAATGTCAGCCAGTCTCTGCCCAGTTATTGAATAGCAAACATGCCCCTTGTCTCATAAATGTAAATAAGCATAATAATGAACATAAATAAACATAAATACTGATTTAGAAAGAAAGCAAGAGTATGCTCAGAGTACCAGACTCGCTGGAGGTCAGTTGTGAGGGGGGTGGGCTCGGTACCCACCAGAGGTGGCAGCGCCGAGGATTAACACCATTCCTCTCCCTCCAACATCTGCTGGGTCAGGGCAGTCCTGGGGGCTGGAGGGCCAAAATCTCATGGAATCAGGCTTAAGCCCTGCAGCATGGCCTCAGCTGGGAAAATGGTCCCTGGGGAAGACCAAGAGAGCTTTAGTTACACCCTGGTGACAGGGAGATCTTTTGCATTAGAACAACTGAGACACAATGTGCTGCTTTCACCTGGTCCAGCTTCTGGCAGGAACATTGCTAGAGAAGGTAAAGGGACAGATCCAAAGTAGAGATGGCAAAGGAGTTCAGAGCAGAAAGGCTGTTAAAATGGGATGGGGCAGCCACAGTTTCTCTGGGCAACCTGGGCCAGGGCCTCCTCACCCTTACAGAGAAGATTTCCTTCAATATCCCACCTAACCCTGCCCTCTGGCAGTGGGAAGCCATTCCCCCTTGTCCCATTTTTGTGCCTTTGTGGAAAGTCCCTCCCCTGCCTTCTTGCAAGCCCCCTTCAGGTACTGGTTAAGTACATATTTCCAACTACAAGGAAAAGATCCATTATAAAAATGCTTTTAAAAAAAAAAACATTCCCTGGAAGATGACTGAATAAAATCCCAAAGCAAACTGCCTTCCCAGACGATGAACCAGAAACCCTGACCGAAGCTCGTGTTTCCCAAAGGAGAGGCAGAGCAACAGGTGGGAAAGAAAAGGCTGAAGGCACATGGGAAAGCTGTCCCTGAGGAGCAAGAAAGACCGGTGTGACACGAGCCTGTGTCCAGGGGGTGACTGAGGCAGGGCTGTGCCAGGGACACACGAAGGTGGCTCAGAGCTGCTGCCCTTGGCGAGGTGAGCACTGACCAGATGTGCACAGACCAGGAGTTCAGAGCTATAATCTGATTTTATAAGCTGATTTCATTTGAGACACTGCATCAACCTTTAGAGTCAATCTGCCTGGCATGTGGATACCATTTCCCTGCACTTTCACAGAATGGATCAGTAAGAGGGTTTAAGGCAAACTCACAGCCAAAGGGAACATTTTAGGCCTTTAGGGGAAATAAAAGAGAAAGGGCTGTTTCAGCCTCACTTTAACATTTGAAATCAAACAATCCCAGGTTCAACAGGTTGCCCAGAGAAGCTGTGGCTGCCCCATCCCTGGAAGTCTCCAAGGCCAAGTTGGACAGGGCTTGGAGCAACCTGGTCTAGTGGAAGGTGTCCCTGCCCATGGCAGGGGATGGGACTGGATGGGCTTTAAGGTCCCTTCCAACCCAAAGCATTTCATGATTCTATGATTCCATGATCCATTCCTCTGGGAAAATTTTATTTTTCAACACAAGAGTTCCATAACTTTTTTCAAAGCAAGACTAATAACCAGAAGATTTCCATGGAGCACTACATTCAGTTTGTGCACATCATCACATTCAATATATACCTTGAATATTCCAGTCACTTACAAACCTTACATGAACTGACCCTCCCAATGCTACACTAAATGCAATAAGCACCATATTTGAACACGAACATAATGGAAATAATTTTTTTAGCTATACAAATAATTGCAATGAGCAACTCAAAGATGGACCATGCAAACTGTGTGTGTATGTGAGGAGTAAATTAATAGAAGCTACACCATGTTCTAGAGCCACCTGCTACCAGGGCCAAGAATGACAATACCAGGGTCAGCTGGTGCTCACAGAGCTGAATTTTGGGTCAGTTTGCTGGTTCTGCTAAGGGACAAAACTGGGGCAATCTCAAGATATGTAAGTGTACAGAAAAGTCTCTCATTTATCTATTGAAGGGGAAAAAAGGGAAAAACATAAAAAGAAAGGGGGAAAGGGGAACATCAGCAGCTGCCTCTGCTTGTGCTCTCTATTGGGTCAACAAAATTGGCTTACTGGAGTTCACCTCTGAGGCCAAGTCCCTCATTCCTGAATGACATGTCCTGGCTGATGTCTCCTCTCTGGAGAACCCGTCCTATGCAGGTATCCCCCTCTCTAGGACCTGTGCAGATGATCAGGAAAAGTGCTGGCCTTGCTTTTCGTCATGAAATATGCTGTATAAAGTAACTGGGGAAACATTCCCTCCAACATCCCCATTTACAGGCAGGAGAAGCTCCAGAGGAGCTCTTTCCTAGCTACTGGGTTAGTATGGCAGCTGGGTAATCTGGGATTTGAGTTCCAGACTTTCCAATCTTTTAGCCTTCTGCACTCACTCCTTCAGGGAAAGTAGCTTCTCACACGGGTCGCAGGACGCTGATCCTCAGCTAAGAGGATGTGTCCATCTGGCTCCTGACTTTCTGGCTGATCATTGCTCTTGGAGCAGGAACACCAGGTTCTGCCTGCAGTCAGGATGCCCGAGGGCACTAGAAATGCTTCCTGCTGGGATCTGCGTCCCACCAGCTACTGCCATCACAGCCAGGCATGTTCTCCAGGGCAGCAAGGGGGGAACTGTGAGCCTGCAAAGCTCTGGGAGTCTGGAGAGGGGCAGGATGAGGAACAGCAATAGCTGTGGCTGCTCTGCTCTGGGGCAACCAGAGTTTGTGAGTTTTAACAATGAAAACATGCAAATTCACACAGCTCATTAAAGCCACCAGAGAAGCCCATGCCCAGGAAACCCTGCTGGTGCTCCTGTGCCCCCCTGCCCAGACAGTGACCCATCAGGTAGAGAGACTTGGAAATGTGAGCTGTGTGTGGGGCAGCAGAGTGACCTCGATGTATCCTGGCACTTAAATGTGTGAAGGACGTGAGACCAGAAATCAGGATCTCAGCTTCACAGGTACAGTTAGAGTTGGACACGTCCACAGTGAACTGCTCAAGAATCATGGAATCACAGAATATCCTGAGCTGGAAGGGACCCACAGGGACCACCGAGTCCAACCCCTGGCCCTGCTCAGGACATCCCAACGATCCCACCCTGTGCCTGCGTGAAGATTGAATAATATGATGTGTAAAAACACTAGTCACAGATGGGAAATCAAAACAAAGGAGGAGTTACTACTACAAGGAGGAGATACTACTACAGGGAGGAGATACTACTACAGGGAGGAGATTCCCAGCTGTGAGCTCCAAGGCCCAGGGTTGGCACAGTTTGATATTCTGGTAACCTGGTAAAGAGTAAAGGGCAGGACACAAAAACCTGCTGATAGCAGAGGATTATGTAGGTCAATCAAGAGGAGAGAGGACTACAAAGCAAGCAAAAGGAAGAAAAAAAGCCCAATAACCTCGAACTAGAAAAAAATATGTAACTAAGCAACACGAAATTCAATCCAGGAAAGTACAAGATAATCTATATTTAAAAATACAATTTGACATATCCTGCACATAGAGATTTAGGAGGAAAGATCAAGTCATCACTGAGGACATCTGTTGTGCCCACAGTGAGATAAATAAGGTATTATAATGGCACGAGACTGGAAACAGGGTGAAAAGCATTATGATGCTGCAGAAAGATAAGTGGTAGGTACTCATTAATCCACTCAAATTCATCTAAAAGAAACATAATAGGTGTGACCAGGTAATAAAAGATTCAGGATCTGTGATTTTTTTGGAAGAGACACTGCACAGGCAGTTGTAAAATGATTGATATTGTGTAGGCAAAAAGGATGTTTCAGTTACTTTTCACACTAATGCAAGAACAAGAAACCACCCTGCGGGCACTGGCAGGAAATGAATTTTTCAGTGGAAAGATGAATCTTCCACTTTGGATCACACACGACAAACCCTGGGGGCACTTTCCCATTTTTCTGCTGCTCCTAGGGTCAAATCACCACAGAGGGTGGGAAAAGGCTGGTGCTGTGAGTCCCCAGGTACTGGTGACAGAGGCAGGGCCAATCCAGCCCCAATACCACCATCACAGCACTTCCCTCCCAACCCAACCCAACCCATTCCATGGTTTCATGAATGGGTAGGGTGAGGGCAGGTGTTAGGGCTGAAACACTGAGGCATCTTGGCCCTTCCATTTCTGGAGAATATTTGCCCTTCTTGTTTACTTCTTTTATTTCTATATTGAAATCACAGTTTCTTCTCTCACCTTGCTTTGTGCAAAGCCAGTGGAATGGGACATCCCAGGGAGACGGTCTGGGATGAGGGCAAGGGGTCAGGAGGAGAGGCGCCAGCTGAATTCCTCAGGATGAGAGGAGACAGCCCAAAGTTGCATCAGGGGAGGTTCAGGTTGGACATTAGGGAAAATTTCTTCATGGAAAGGGTTGTCCAACCCTGGCACAGGCTGGAGTCTCCATTGTTGGAAGTGTTCAAAAAATGTGGATGTGGCACCTGGGGACATGATTATGATGAACATGGTGGTGATGTGGGTTGATGATTGGCCTTGGTGACCTTGAAAGGCCTTTTCCAACGTTAACAACTCTGTTATTTTGATTCCATGATTCTGCTCCATCCTTCAGCGATGGCAACTCAGGCCACATTGCCCTGTGCAGTGGTCAGACAGGCTGAGCTGGGCTGATCACCCACAGATCAGCAACATCACAGCCCCTAAAGATACTGCTGGGCTTTTCTAACACTTTAAAAACCTATTAAAAAGTACATGGAAAACATTTATGCAGTCATAGCAACTTCAGATTTGCTTTAAAAAACAAATCTGCAATTTAAGCGGCCACGGATACATTTGAAATAGCAGCCCAAGAGCATTTTTCTGCCTAGATAATACACATCTTGGCAGCATTTCAACAGAACCAGAATTACATTCAAGTGTCAGATGCTACATTTTAATGGTGCTCAGCAAATGCTCCCCTGTCTCTGTTGTACCTGCAGCCTCCCTGCTGTAAGGGAACCCACCTGGCTTTCCTTCAGCAATCCCAAATCCCTCCTCCCTCTATAAAATCCTCTGGATTTGACACCCGGTTCTGTGGACTTGAGGAGATGAAAAGGCTTTGGAAAGCAAACAACCCGAACCACTGAAACACGGTGCAGAGGTACAAAGAAAGCTGCTGAACTCCACAGTGGAGAGCCTGGAACAGCCCCAGGCCATGGCTGCAGAGGGATTTACAAGGGCAAGGACAGCGGAACAAGCTGGGAACAGGGAGAAAGGCTCCGACGGAGCATCGGCCGCGGCACTGCAGGTCTGGAAGCAGGGAGGGAGCACCACACCTGGAAACGCGACCCAGAGCCCGGAACAGAACTGCCCTTCCCTTCCCACCAGGCACCAGCTCTGCAGACACGCCGGCCCCCCTTCCCAGCAGACCCACTCCATGTGCTGCCCCCACTCCCCATCCTGTGGCAGCGGCTTCCCTGCCCCGTGGGGCTCATGGCCATGCCAGAGACACGGGGAGATGCAGCGCTGCATCCAGAGCAGGTCCCACAGCCCGTATCCCGCCGCAGGACCGCTCCCTGCCCTCGGAGACGGACGGGGCTACTCCCGGGATGTGCCCGGGATTTGCCTCAGCAGAGCCACGCACCCCCCGCCCCGCCCGCCGGGGATGCAGCTGCACCCTCCCCCAGGCTGAATTCAACTTACAGTGCACTTTAAGGAGATTTAAAAAACCATTTCAGGCAAGAAAAGCGCCGAGAAGGATCCTGGCCAGCCTTTCCTCACCTCTGCTTCAACTCCGGCGGCGGCGTCTCCCGGCTTGTCACGGCTCCAGCTCCGGGGGCTGTGACTCAGCAAAGGGAGCAGCTTTTTATTTTTCCGATGGAACTTACCAAACCGTGCCAATATTACGGGGAGGATCTGCTTTCCGGAGCCGCTGCTCTGCCAGCCTCTCCCGAGGTAATTCCACTGAACTCTCCCCATCTGCTTACGGTACGACAGCAGGAAACGATTTCTTTGGGGGAAAAATATCAAATGCAAACCTGCCTGGGAATTGGGCTGGGCGAGGAAGAAAAGATTCCCAAGCTCTACCTATGCTGGACTTAAAAGAAAAGGTGACGTCTCCTTATTAGCCTGAGAGTTCTGCTGCTCCTAGTCAGATATCCTGGGATCTGAGTCTCTGTGATGAGCTGGAGCTTAGCATGGGGAGCCTCCTGCCCCAAGACCCCCAGGCTGGCAAGAGTGGGAAGTGCCCCAGGAGGGAGGCAGCTGCCCTGCTGTCTCTGGAAGAATCCCTCTGGCCTTTCCACAGGTCAGAGGATCCCCCTGTACCCCATGGCACATGGCAGGACAACTGCACCCACAGGGAAAGAGCTCCTCACCCCAACCACAGCCCCTGGGGTCACAGGCCTGACCCCACTGCCTCCTTCCGCTCTGCACTGCCCAAATCACGGATAAACAGGAATCTCTGTGGGATTTCAAGAGAGTTGTGGGGGGCTGGGATCCCTCTCTGTCAGGCTGAGCCCACCTGGAGTGATAGAACCACAGGTACAGGGACACAAACCCAACTGGGCAACCTGCGGCTCCTGCTGTTGGGAAACCAAACTCCAGCAGCTGAGGAACAAAAGGCTGATCCACACTATAAAATCCCAAGCCTGTTCCAACATAAACTGCAACCTCTTACACCACCCCATGGCCACACGTGTTCAGGTGAACCCACAGCTCCAAGCCCACCCAGCGCCAGCATTCAGTGGGTCCAGAACATACCCAGCAACCACTCAGCTCCTATTTATCCTCTTCTGTGTCCTTGCCAAGAGGGATGCACAGGGCTCTCCTGAGCCCATGGACCCCCAGCAGCTCCTGGGCAGGATCTGGGGTGCTCCTAGCACCACTGTATCATCCCTACATGGTTATTTTCCTTATCCAAGCTGTCCCAGTTCCCCATTCCACTGGCACAGGTTGCCCAGAGAAGCTGTGGCTGCCCCATCCCTGGAAGTGCCCAAGGCCAGGTTGGATGGGGCTTGGAGCAACCTGGTCTATTGGAAAGTGTCCCTGCCCATGGCAGGGGGTGGGACTGGATGATATTTAAGGTCCCTTCAATAGCAAAATATTCTGGGATTCTGTGATTCCATGATAACAGGGAACTGATTGGTTTTGCCCCAGGGTTATTTTCTAATGAATTCGGTACTATCCCACTTTAAAAAGATAAGATAGATGCTGTCACTGCCACCACAAGCTCCATTGGCCAATCACTCACAAAAGCCAGCAGGAATGCAGAGGCTCCAGGCCCAGCCTGGTGAGCACAGTGGACAGGGGGCACTGCCAGGTTTTGGGAATGATGCTCAGCACAGGGAGACTGGGAAGGGCCCCAGGAGCCAGGGGTGCTACAGCCTCAGCTCTGCTTCCCCTACCCATCCCCTACTCTGGCCCTTGGGATTTAAACCCATTCAGAGGAATGATCAGCCCGTTCCTACGGAGAAGGAAAGCTGGAAGTTACTTCCAGATGCATCCAACCAGAAGTGCTCCAGAGTTAAGCCTGTGACAAATCAGCAAACACATCCTTTAATTAAGAAAGCCTTTTCCTTTGATTTTTTAATTAGAAGCAAGAATGCAGATGCCATTTACATAGAAGGATTGTCTTGCTTTCCTTCCAGTGCTGGCAGAACAGAATTCCAATCACATCCTGCAAATTTCCACGAGTTTAAAAAAGTCCTCAGGGTTACAAAGCTCCTGACCATCAGGTTTTGAGATATAGGGTGCTCCAGCAGCAGCCATAAATTGTGGCAGAAAAGATCCATATAGAATTTTGACATCTCTCTGCAGCCATAGATCTGTTTAAACTACTAAAATACTACAGACCATCAGATGCAGTTTCCAGGTGGGTACCAGTGAACAGCCACCTCTGTAAAATGAGAAATACAAGGTGCAGTTGAGAGTTGTAGAATGGATTCAATGAGTGAATGAGTAAGAAAGCAGAAGAATGAAATTTTCATGGCACGCAGGAGACATGAGGTGAATACTTGAATAAAAAGTAATAAAAATGAAAAAAAAATCAATATTAGCCTGAAGCATTATAGAATCCCAATTTAAACCAGCCTCCCAACCCCCTGGGAGAGCAGGGCTGGCTGTCCTCCCGCTGCCAGAGCACCTGCCCACAGCAGCTCAATACCCTGACCTGTCTTCAAAGGGAAGGGATGCACCAGCCTAGATCCCCCTCCAAGGACAGAATCCCACCAGATTCCCCCTAATTACAGACAGCCATGACAACGTCTCTTGGAGGGGGAGATGGACCAGAGGAAAGGCTGTAACATCTCTATCTCTTCCTCACTGATCTTTTAAGCAGTCTGGCTCTTGTTTTAATTATAACGTCCTTACAATCCCAGGCTGGTTTGGGTTGGGAGGGATCTTAAAGCTCATCCCATTCCACCCCCTGCCACAGGCAGGGACACCTTCCACTATCCCAGGTTGCTCCAAGCCCCATCCAACCTGGCCTCGGACACTTTCACCCCATGCCAAGGGCAGGGACACCTTCCACCAGAGCAGGAAATAAACTTCAGAAAACGGGAATAAAATACCCTGTTTTGAGCTAAACAGACACTTTCTGTGATCAAAGTTGGCCTTATCTCACCCTGCTCCCCTTCCTGCTTCTCTTCACACCCAGGCTGAGGCTCCTCCCAGGTGGGTTCTCTGGGAGCTGCAGCCCCGACAGGATCCGAGCAGGACTCGCTCAGTACCACCCCTCTCCTAACTAGATTAAGGAAGATGAATTTCTCCACTGGCAAATGGGCTTGTAGCCAGACAGATTTTGAAAACAAATATATCCTCAGGAGCACCTTCTCCACGCAGAAGCTCCGCAGCCCAGGCAGCACTGGCAGCCGCTGCCGTTGCCATGGAGGCTGTGCCCACTGTTCTTCCTCTCTTTTTCCTATTAAAAAAAGGGCAGTAACTGCTGCAGATCAGTAGCACAGATTTACAGGGAGCTCTCACAGGCCACAGGCACAAGGCAATATCTGACACGCGCAGCTACTGAGGGAACTTGGCTGCCTGAAGGATCTTTGTGATGGATTTCTCTCTCCCCCATTTTAGTCAAAATATTAAGATAAAAAATACGAGATTATGCCAAAAATGAAACGGAAATGTTTTAGAATGACATTTGAATTTTTAGAAGTGCTCATACTTAGTTAAAATCAAGAGTTTTAAAGCCTTATTTTGAAACTGGAGCCCCTCTGCTCTGGAGCCAGGCTGGGAGAGCTGGAGGTGTTCAGCTGGAGAAGAGAAGGCTCTGGGAGACCTTAAAGTCCCTTCCAGTGCCTAAAGGGGCTCCAAGACAGCTGGAGAGGGACTTGGGACAAGGGCTGGAGTGACATGACAAAGGAGAATGGCTTCCCACTGGCAGAGGGCAGGGATAGATGGGATATTGGGAAGAAATTCTTGGCTGTGAGGGTGGTGAGGCCCTGGCACAGGTTGCCCAGAGAAAATGGGGCTGCCCCATCCCTGGAAGTGTCCCAGGCCAGGTTGGACAGGGCTTGGAGGAACCTGGGCTATTGAAATGTGTCCCTGCCCATGGCAGGGGGTGGGACTGGATGAGCTTTAAGGTCAACTTTGAGGGAAGTTCCTTACTCAGCCAGGAAGCATGGTGGTGTTTTTCTGCTATTGCCAAAAAGAAGGGAGCTATAAATGTTGTTCTTCTTTGTCCTTTATCATCTCTGATGACTTAGCAGCAAGTGCTAAAAATAATTTTTCATGCTTCATCTTCAAAGTCGATGTGGTGCAATGTTTAAAAAAACCCCAAATCCTATATCCCAGTGAGAATATTACAAATATTTCAGGATCCAAATGAAACTTTCTGAAGAGGTGCTGTAGGGCTGCCAAATGTGACATTTCACACCAGCTTTTCTCTCTGAGCTCTCTCCCAGCCCTGTGCTCACAGAGACAGCAACTGAGACAGTGACACATTTCTGAGAGCAGGCTCCCCTCAAGTGCTCAGGATTCACTGCACGAAGGCACGTTTGGGAAACAGTGAACTAAAACTCTTAGGAGTTGGAGAGGAAATGAAACAGTATTCTAATCCCCCAGGGAAAGTTTGTGCCATTCAGGCTTTCCCTTCACATTTCTAATGTTCAATACATCTCTAAGTCAGCAGTGGGCAGGACACAACCCAAAGCCAGAAACGGGTTTGGAGATTCCCAGGAAAACCCAACAGCAATGAAATAACAACACTGGTGTAACAAATGACTCCTACCAATCCCACTGCATGGTTATGGCCTAAGTTTAGATGTAATAAAACCTATTTGTCCTGCAAATAACATGAAATAACATATGAAAATTTTTGATTCCAAGTGAATCAAGCAGGCTTGGAATTCAGAACTCCAGGGAAACTGGAGGGACCTGAGCTTGCATGCATGTTACTTTAAATAGCCGAGTCTCATTAATATGAAATTATGTTCCCAATGCCACAAGTACAGCATTCCTTAGTAAATCTGACACACACAAGTCACAGGCAGTACTACCCACCTCAGTGAACTATCCAAACACTAAAGGTTATCTCCACAAGACACACAAAGGGCAAAATCCTCCCAGGTACCCCAGGGAATGATGCTTTGAGGCTACTTCTGCACTTGTTTACACACCCAGGAGTGGGTTCTGTCCCCAGTATCCAACCTGAACTTCCCTTGGCACAGCTTGAGGCTGTTTCATCTTGTCCCTTGTTCCCTGGGAGCAGAGCTCGACCCCCACCTGGCTCCACCCTCCTTGTCAGGGAGTTGGAGAGAGCAAGAACGTC